TTCGAGGACCATGGCGCGGGGTGAGGACCAAGCTTTCCGGTCAGGCCAGTTATTTCACACAGCTGGCATTGCAAGAGGATATTTTCAAAGCAAGTACCTAAACGTCGTGGTCAAGCACGTTTCGGGGGCTAATTCTTACATGGCTGGGAACTGAGAACCATAGACCGGTGAAATATTGAAATATTATGCTTCATCATTGATTCCAAATGGTTCTCATGAATAATTTGATCATCAATGACTATCCGCCCAGTCCCCTTATCCACTCGGCGAGAAGCAGGGGACTAGTATACATACACACCCAACCAGACAGAGCAGAGTTAATGTGAATTTATGGGCTGGACAAATCTGGCGAACATCGAAAGATGATTTGAAAATCAATGTGAAACCATGAGTTGTGTCCAGTGGAAGTAATAGAAATGGGCCATACGGACAACACTGATAGCATGATTGGTTGGGGATTGACATAGAAAATTCGAAGTATATGACCCTTACGTCGCATTTTTGTCCTGCGCTCGTTTGTGATGCACGGTAAGTACGGGTGTGATCCGCGAGCGTGCGCTTGTATGGCTGGCTTGGTGTGAACACGGTAGGTCCAATGCAGTGCAACGCAATGCAGTGAACTGTTTTGCGCGTCAAAAGGAGCGTGCACTTTTTAAGTCGCTGAACATGAACCAGTTGTATATGAGTGGCCCATTATCTGAAATCAGATGCGTTCGTATCAGTGGCGGGCTTTCTTGCGCGCGCTACCGAGGCGCCGCCTGGGGCGCGACGTGTCTGTCCTTCCTAGCGTCGTGCCTGTTTGGTGCTGTACGCTGTGGGCGGCCCTGTTAGAGGCCGCAGGACGGCCGGTGAGACGGAGGTCAGGGTGAGCACAGAGGGAGCGAAGTGAATACATTCTGTTGCGACTGGTGACGTCACGCTGCTATCCGTGGCCGAACTGGATCATGCTGCGCTGGGTTGGTCTTACGGTCGGCATCATTTCCTTCTGCCTCGCACGCTGATCAAGCATGTTATTTCGCTTTCGGTGCAAGTTTAGGACAAACAGAATGCTTACGGATCAAAAGCGCCAAGGAGCCCTAAACTTGCGGACGCACCTGCGCGTGCGTGCACTAAATGAAAATGAGTCTTGGGCTGGTAACTTGCACTCCAAGCCATTTCGAGTGTGTTGTATGCCGCCTTTGCTCGCCAGTCAGATTGTACCGGCCTCTGCTCTCTTGCGATTGTCATTCGGCATTTTAGACACACACGACTGCCTGAGGATTTTCATGCGGGACTCAGCCATGTCACGGTGCTTGAGCGCCACATCCCCCTCCCCTCTGGCCATGTGCCACCTGACCTTTGTCCACCGGCCGGCCAAAACAATGGACGGTAAACAGCGTTCGTTGTGGAGTCGGGTGGTGACGGCTTAGTCCCTCTCCCGGGGGCGGGGGGTACACAGACCCTGTTGGCCACCGTCGCCGCGTCGATCCGGCCAGCAGACGCGGTCGGCTACGAGCGGACCACTTGCGAGCGGCTGTGGCTGCTGGCCGCCTCCGTCTCGTCGGCGAGGCAGCAACGCTGGCGGTACAGCGCTGCCTGCATTCGCCGCTCCAGCGGCCTGTTGGCTCTGCTGGCCCGCCTCCGTCGCTCGCGGACGAGGCGGCGCTTGCAGCCAGCTGGCTGGCGCGCCGCCCACTCGTCGCGGCCTGCAGCGGCCGCTCTATCGGCGCGTCGCCCCCTTGTTTGCCGCTGTGTACACGGTGGCCTGAAGAGGACCCGCCAAGGAGGTCCCCCGTGTTCCCTGTAGTAATGGCGTGTTATTGTTGGTTTCCTCGGGCCCTCCGCTTATCACCAGTTATTTGATGCCTGGAGGGCACTGGCCCGTCCCTGAACAACTTTGTTGCAAATGTATATCTGCGATTTGCAACCGGTTTAGTGGGGATGCAACAGATAAGCATTGAAAAGTCGCATACACACCCATTTTTTAAAGTTTAAGGCTGCGCGATTTCCGGTTTGTGTAACTTTTGCACTGCTCCGTGCTACCCCGTGTTCGTAATTATTTACCGTTTGTGGTAACATAATTCCTGGTGAATGATGCCTTGGCACAGTCCTTCCTTGTTTCCTGAGAGGGCGAGCGTGGCATGCTAGGTGGAACGTACACGGTCATATCTAGATAAGGCCTGACGTTCGACATGGGCTCGGAGCAGGATCTCTCAGATTCAGCCTCAGATGCTCAGGTTTTCCATTTTAAGAAAGCAATTTTCGTTGGATTCGTGTAGCTACGAACACGTTGACCATCACCCTCAAAAACATAGTTGCCTTGGTTTTCCTAATTCAGTTTTGACCGGAACATCTCTGGAGTAGATTTTGTTACCAACTTGCTTTTGCAGCAAATGGAATAAGAACCTGCGGAAACCTATTCCGATCGGAGTAACGTTATATAATTGCGTTTCCCAGTTCTTTTGATCTTTATGCCTTCAAAGGCTTGCGCTGAACACAGGCTTTAACCCAGCAGCGCTGCGAATCCGAACCAAATTACGGCTATTCACACGACAGCGCGCGAGAACCGTCCCCTGGATCAGCGCTGACGGCCCCGGCTGGCGTCTGGAGGCCACGTTCGCCGCTGTCGGTCACCTCGGCCGTCCAGCTGCTGTCACACACACAGCACTTCTAGGCGGGCTTCCCCTGCTGGAGTGTACATGCACACGCACGCACGCACGCACGCACGCACGCACGCACGCACGCACGCACGGAGTCGTCCGAGTCCTCCGAGGCTTGGAAAGACCATCGTGTTACAACACACGTAGGGTGATCGTGGAGTGGTCCATAAACCCCGATCACGCGTAGCAGTACGCTACCGCACATATCCCCGCCCAACGGGTATGTGTGGAAGTCGCCGCACGCTAGCATTTCGCCAGGTTCGTTGGGCCGGGGCAAGATGCGTTTATACGCAATTGAAGCGAACGGCGATGGAACGCTTCAGCCGCCTTATCTCTGGGACAGTGCCGGCAGCCGACCACTGGCGCTCGCCGGCGGCCCCTGCTGAACCGCCGGAGACGCTGTGGTTGGGGTGCTGGACAGGGGCCCGCTCGCATTCGTGCGCCTTGGAGGTTGCGTGCCTTGAGTGAAAAGAAGCCTTGCGTCAGAAGACCACATTAGAGCACCCGTGAACGACGGGATGTGTGTAAGCCTTTCATCGAAAAGTATTCCTTCTTTCAAAATGTGTATGAATGTGAGAGGCAAGGCTAAAAAATGTGTGAATGTGAGGGGCAAGGCTAAATTTAATTTCTTCTGTTAAAATTGGATGTGCAACTCTTGCAGACACCACCAAAACCATCTGCAATGGACGCATGACATTACTTACTTCAACATGACGGCGGGAAAGGCGCCTGGACCACCCATGATGCATTCGTCCCCTTTTCGTCCGCCCCCGCTCCCTCTTGCATCCTGGAACAGCTTGTCTGCCGGGGGCATGCGTCAGCCACGAGCCATTCCCACGGCCACCCTGATCGCGGCTGTGCGTTTAACCGGGCATGGTGTTCAAAAGGGGGAGGGGGACAACTCGAGACACCTCCCGGGCGTCCGAGCACCAGGGCCAAGGACCACAGCACTCCGGGCCGGTAGACGACCAAAGAAGTCTCTGAAGTCACAAACATGGCGGGTACAGGGCGGTGCGGTGACGGTTTGGTCAGGTGCAGGGCGGTGCGGTGACGGTTGGTCAGGTACAGGGCGGTGCGGTGACGGTTTGGCGCTCCTGACGGGATGGAGTTTTTCTCCTACAGGAAAGCTTAAGGCCTTGGCAAACCGGCCATCGTGCCAGTTATTTCGCCACCCAAAATATAGGTGAGTGACAGAATACCGAAGCGCAGATCATTCTACAGTTTTCCGCATCGCCGGGTGGGATTTTCTTTGATTCTTTTGGGGATTTCGAACTCCTGTGAGGTCGAGATAAGGTATGAACGGAGGACGCCCGCTGCTGTCTCAAAACCATACCAGCGCTCTCTGTGAGCCAGCTACCTTACGACGCCCTTGAGCTTCATAGGTGAGCGCGACCGTAGCGGCCGAGCCCTCCGAGCGGCGGGGCGCGCCCGCCGCTTCCGCCGCTGTCGCCGCTAAAAGCCCGCCCGCCGCGCCACACCCGTGGTCTGCCGGAGGAATGTCAATTTGGCCGGCTCGCCGGCGGCCGCTGACAGCGCCCCGCACGGCTCCCCTCGCGGACGTGCGTCAGGGGGCGCGACCTCCGACCTCTCCGGTCCGGCCGGCTGCCGCCGCCGGACGACGGGCGCCCGTGACCCGGCGCCACGCGCGCGCGAGAGATGGCCCACGGCGTCGCAGCGACAGCCGGAAATGAGCCACCGTGCTGCGGCAAAATGGGAGGCCCCGGCTCATTGTACGGCCGGCGGATGGCGCGCCGGCCGGTCCCAGAGCGCTCCGCCGGCCGCGCCGCTGGGAGAGCCGTGAGCTCACTACCTCAGGGTGGCGCAGTCTGGGCCGTGAGCTCACTACCTCAGGGTGGCGCTGTCCGGGCCGTGAGCCGCTCACGAACTGAGGGTGATGCTATGTGGGCCGTGAGCTCACTACCTCAGGGTGGCGCTGTCCGGGCCGTGAGCCGCTCACGAACTGAGGGTGGCGCTGACCGGGCCGTGAGCCGCTCACGAACTGAGGGTGATGCTATGTGGGCCGTGAGCCGCTCACGACATCAGGGTGGCGCTGTCCGGGCCGTGAGCCGCTCACGAACTGAGGGTGGCGCTATCCGGGGCGTGTCGCTAACGACGAGCCATTACTATTCCTTTGTTTGCCGTCGGAGGCTGGCCGGCTGTCTGTCTTTCCTCCGAATCGGTGTGATCTTTTCGTCGGGAGTGACTGCGCTTATCGCTGGCTGCCATTGTCACCTGTCCTTTTGTTCTCGATCTAGTGTGTTTGTTTCCATCCTGGCCCGTTGTCACTCTCCGTTTGATGTGAGACAGTGTCCCCTTTGTTTTATCATCACGCGTTGCTCATGTCCTCTTCCTCTGTTACAGCGTGGTAAAGTCGCTGGCAAACAACAAGGAGGACCGCAAGAGGGTGGAGAAAGCTCTGGAGGCGTCAGGCCTGCCCAGCGGCAAGGTGAGGCCCACCTCGCCGTCCTCTCCAGCTGGCCCTGCCCACCTCGCCGTCCTCTCCAGCTGGCCCTGCCCTCCTCGCCGCCCACTCCAGTCCGCCTTGTCCACCGACCGACCCGTCCGCCGCCGCCGCCGCCGCCGCCGCGCCGCCGCCGCGAGCGCCGCTCCTCAGCGGGTGGCGGCTCGGGTGCGTGGCTCGGCCGGCCGGCCGCTATCGCGCCGCCGCCGCCCGCCGCCGCCGCCGCCGCCGCGAGCGCCGCTCCTCAGCGGGTGGCGGCTCGGGTGCGTGGCTCGGCCGGCCGGCCGCTATCGCGTCCGCCCGGTGACATCCTGTGTGTAGACGGGCGGACCGGCGCGCCGCCCGCCCGCCTTGGCCGGCGGCTCCGGTGCCGCCAGCCGCCGCCTGCAGAAACCGGCCGCTCGGCCCCACGCTGCTTTGTCTTGATTCCCCGGTCGGTGCCCGTGGCGCGCATGCTCCCGGCCGTGTCGGCAGACGCTGCCCGGCTTAGCTGTATCGACACGGTCACGGTCACGGTCACGGACAGCGTGACCCGTGAAGTGGACTTTCAGTTACCCCTTTCTCGTGTGGCTTGGTGGGCCCGGTTCAAGCCGCCACCACTTTGTTGCGAAATCATTCCCTTGTATGCTCGGGCCATTTCGTTCCAGATGCATCTCATGCCTGCATTCTTTTTTCCCAGTCTGACACCCTTGAACCAGAAATGTTCACCTTCAAACACTTCTTGGCCTTCTACATGCACCTTACCGGACGGCAGGAGATTGAGCGGATCTTCGACGAACTGTAAGCTGACTTCTCAGGTTGTGTGATCTTAGAATGAATGTGGATCTGTGGTGGCCACTGTGTATGACACTTTTTCAACATGATGTCTATGTTCAAACATTGCACGTCACATTGTGCGCCACATATGGTGGGCTGTGGTCGTGAGTTAAGAGTGTTTTGTTTTTATTTTTGCCGTGTGCAGCTGACGTCCATGTTTGATCTCTTTCACTCACATCAAGTATGCGGCGAATCCTTCGCTTTGTTAGCTGTTGCGGATACCCCCCTCCGCCCTCCGGGCAGTTATCTCTCGAATGAAGCGGCCAACAGCTCTGGGATGTTCAGTTCAGCGTCGGCAGCCTTGCACACGGCCACCCTTTGAGGCGCCACGCGGCACGCGCCAGATCCCTCGCCCGGCGAGTTCCGGTATCGACGTGGGGCGGAGCGGCGGTCGGGGCGAGCGCCGTCTGGGACACTGACTGGATCACTGCGCGCCTCATTAGGATGTCGCGTTCCGATGGGACGCGATCACCGGTCGCCGGCGGCGCGTCCTGCCAGCCGCGGCGGCGCCGGCGGGATGCTGCGCGGGCTCGCCGCCGGCTGGCTGCGGCCCGGCAGACGCGTGCCATGTTAGATACCGTGCCGACACTTGCCACGGTCGGTGGCAACGTGCCGACACTTGCCACGGTGATTCGAATTCTGGAGGGGGGGGGGGGGGCAATTTTAGATGTCATGCACCGCCGACTGCGCCCGTTCCACCCTAGCAGTCGGTTCCCTGCGCGACTCGCCCGATCCTCTTCACAGGCGGCAACTTCGGCCATCGCCTCATCCCCGCCCGTCAGGCACGGGGCCCGGTTCTCCTTCGGCCCCCTTCCGTTCCTACCAGGGCGAGAGGCTGGCCACGCCGCATAGCCTCAACAGCTGGGTGCGCCTTGAAGCCCCAGTGACATCGCCGTCCCGCGGGCTCCCCCAACGGGCCGCAGCGGTCACCAGACCGCGAGGTGGAGCCGCCTGCCCTGGCCTGAGAGAATGCCGAGACCTGCCGGCATTCTCGCGCCGCCCGGTCTCGTCGCCCCGGGCGGCGGAACCGAGTCACGATGGCGGCGCGTACCCGGCGCGGCCGTCGCCGATTGTGGCGCGGCCGTCACCGATTGTGGCGCGACGCAGCCGTCGCGTGTTATCGGCTGCCGGCGACGCGGCGCTGCCGTTGGGCGGCGGCCAAGGTCGCCGCCGCCGCTGCAGGCAGGGCCGCCCGGTGATGCTCAGTCCCGGTCTCGGTCCGGTCAGGCCGGCCGCGGCGGCGGCGTGGCGCGTGCCGGTCGGCCGCCGCCGCCGCCGCCACCGGCCATTGTGCCGGCTGTCGACCCGTTGGACGAGGCGCACCGCCGGCCGTCGGCGGCGCGTCACTTTCGCTTTGTTTATATTCCGGGCTCCGGCGCGCGTCGTCGACGCTCGACAAATGGTGGGTCGTATTGGGTCGGCTCTCTTCCGCAGAGGAGGGCCGCGAGCTGCCAAAAGGATGCCGAGGGTGGCTGCTGGGGGGTGGACGGATGACCGCCGCCGGTTTGCTTGTAGGCGCAATTACAAGACTCGCTGACGGGGCGCAAAGTGACCACTGCAGTCGACGCGCCTGAAAACACCAATGAACAACAACAAGACTCGCTGACACGATATGCCGCTGTGTCCGGCACCGCACAAATGCAACCGCGCGTTCGTTTTTAGAAGTGGCGGGTTTGTTGAGCGCCAGCGGGGCGGGTGGCGTCGCGGTGAACGCTCGAGCGGCTCACCTTGTTAGCGGCGCCGGGGTAATCACGTGCCGCCGGTGACGGCTGGGCGGGAGCCGGCCACTGGAAAATCGAACCCATTGAGTGCCTGCCACCGCCCACCCGGTAGCGATCCGTGCCCCGGGGTCGAGTGTGTGCGTGTGCTAGCGTTCGCTGCCGAAGGCCATTCTTTATGGCTGACTCTGGCCGATGGTTCGATCTAGTGATGTTCATGCCGAACCACGGATGGAGAGGCGACGCTCTCGGCGTCACAGAGCCCAGCTGGTGCACGACCACACTGGTGCTGGCTGAGACGAGTGGGTATGGGCTCGTGTGCTGTCCGCTCGTGAGTATGTTCGCGGGCCAGAGCGCAAGGGGACCTTTGATGTCGATGCGCCGTAAAACCTCACATCATCGTTATCAGAATACTTGTGGGCTATTTTTCAGCTCAGTTCATGTCCCTGGATTAGGTTTGGCATGGTGAGCGCAAACTCTTAAGCTGACTCTTGATTTTGATTAGTTTTTTGTTGCTTCACATTCATGAAATAACGCCGGTAACGAGAGCGCGTGCACCGGTCTCACCACCTACCTTCCCCTCTGTATGTTGTCGAGCAGGCCAAGAACGGATTAAGGCTCCTGGTGGATACAAGCCGCGTGATTTCCCTTGTAATGCGAACGGGACACGCGCTGTAACCTAGGCTTTCCTGACAGTTCTGACGCGCGCGTGATGTGCTCACCACAAACACCCCCCGGCTGGTGCAGGCGATAAGATCGGGCTGTTACGTTGCAACCCCGTTACAGTGCGGCTCTGTATTTCCGCGGCGACTTCTCGCCACATCGTTGGGCCGGTCTCCACTGCCAAATCCGCACCGCTGCTCGGCGGCTTTAAGCTTTCGGCCGTGAGCCCCGGGCTTTGATCGCGCCCGACCTCGCTGGCGGGTTTTGCCGCGCGAGGGTCGCCCGTCGTTTCCGCCGTCGGGCGGGGCCGGGCCGGGCCGGGCGGCGAGCGGCCGTCGTCGGCGGCGCGGCGCTCCTGTTTACCGTGGGCGGGGCGCGGGGCCGCACTCACCGGGCGGGCCCGAGCCGGCCCCGTGTTTATACGCCCCGTGCGCCGGGCGCCCGCCGCTGCTCGAGGCGCCCCGCCGGGCCGGGTCAGGCAGCCGCCGCCGCCGGCCGGGTCGGCGGAACTGGGTCAGCGGCGGCGGGAGGGGGCAATACGGCCGGCTCGGACCGGCCGGCTGAACTGCTCCGGTGTCAGCGGTGGGATACAGATGGGCGCGCCAGCTGACGTACGGCGGCCATGCGTCAGCCGGATAATGGACCTGGCGTGCATGAGCGGCTCCAGAAATGGCTAGAACATGGCAGCGGCACGGCGCGATGAGCTCGCAAATTGCTATCGCCGGGAAGGCGGAGCTCAAATTCTGGCTCGCACTATCACGTCGTCGGCCCGTGCGGCGGGCTTCTGCAGCTAGGGCGTGATTTCATCAGGGGGTCGATGGAGGTAGTGTTAACATGGTTTGCTTTGGCACGTGGGATATCATTATCAGAGTAATGCTGTAAGATAGGGCCGGTTTGGTTTGAAATATCAAATGCAGTTGAGTGGTTTCATGACGGTCTGTACCTGAGAGGCGGGGCAAGTGTAGCTGCCAGACCACCTCGGAAACAACACTGATTATTGCGTCTAGGGTTCGCTGTCAGCGCTTCATGAGCAGGTACCGGTGCCGCGGCGTGGTGGACTTGGCCGAAAGGCTGGTTTTAAGGTGGACTCGGCGTATGAAGGGGGAGGCATTGGAGGATAGGACGAACGCCGACACCGGCTGGGTGAGGTCAGCCGCTCCGCACGTCTCAGTGCGGCCCTGAGCTCCGCCTCGGCGTGCCTGGCCTGGACGGGACTGTTTCAGGTGCGGCGGCAACAAGCGGAAGGGGCACATGACGGTGCAGCAGGTGGTGGACTTCCTCAACAAGGAGCAGCGCGACCCGCGGCTAAACGAGATCCTCTACCCGTACGTGGACCCGCAGAAGGCACGCGAGATCATCGCCCAGTACGAGCCCAACAAGGCGAACGTGCAGAAAGGTGAGAGGCGACGGCGCCGCGCCGGCGCCGCGGCGCAGAAGCGTCCGCTGCCGGCGGGGTCGCGCCGCCATCGAGCAGAAAGTCGTCTCAAAGTCGGCCCATTTATACCTCGTGTCTTGAAACGAGCGGACTGCGGACCAACTCGTGGCTGCTTGTGCGCTCGCCCATTTCGTCGCCGTGTGCTCGTCACCTTCGGCGAGTTATCGACCGTTTTACGTCGCTTGACTCGCTTTAGCATATTCAGTGTTCCGGTGGAAGGCTGGTCGCTTGAACTGGCGCCAAGTTTACCCTGCTTGCCTCGTTCTCGCTAACTTATGTGAGACCGGACGCTAATTCTCCCACGCAAAGCCGCCGGCGCGCCGCTGAGGTGGTGTACGGGAACATCGGCGATGGGCCGCGACTGACGCTGCCGCCGCCACAGGGCTGCTGAGTCTGGAGGGCTTCATGCAGTACTTGATGGGCGACGACAACGCCATCGTGCCGCCCGAGAAGTACGACCAGTGCGACGACATGGAGCAGCCGATGTCGCACTACTTCATCAACTCGTCGCACAACACTTACCTGGCCGGTAAGGCACGTGGGCGTCGTGGGCGGCCGACCGCCAGGCCGACTGATCGGAGCCGCCGTCTGATGCTCGGGCTCGGCTGCAGGGACGTGTGCGGCACTGGGCGGCGGCGCGCCGGCGTTGGCTGTTGTGACCGTCGGGGGCGCTGGGGTGGACCTCAGCCTGGCCGACCCGCCCGTGAGGGACCCGTGGGGTCTACAACAGATCCGCGAGGTGTTCGTGTGCGGACCATAAGGGATCAGTGGGATGTCTTTTGTTATTGTGTTTTACCTTAGGTAAATATTTAGTCCGAAACTTTTGAGTATATTAATTTCTAAGGTGATCAAAGCTCACGCTAAGCAACGCTTGCTATATATGCCGACCTACCATGCGATCGTGAAATTCCAGGTCTACGGCAGAATTGGTGGCGAAAGTTTAACGTGTCGCGATGCTCGGCGTGGTCTGTCCCCCCTCTGACGTCGCCTGACCTTAAGCGCAGCGGCTGCCTTCGGGCGCTCGCCATTCCAGTCAGGGATAAGTAGCGGATGCCCAGAGCAACTCGAACCCGGCCTGCCATGGGTGGGTGGATCAGAAGGCAGGCGCTCTCGCCAGCTGAGCTATCGGGGCGGACCAGGGGATCGGGGTTATCCGCGGGTAGCCCGTGGCTGGCTGCGTCTAAGCTGTGGACGGGTCGTGGGGATCCGTGGCGGATCCGTGACGGGTGGCCCGGCCGGACCGGCGGCACCACCTACCTATCTGGGATGTCGACTGCGCGCGGCCCGTGCGGGTCCGGACTTCTACCAGCGGGGGGCTTGCAGCCGGCCGGGGTGCGGCGGTAGCTTCAGCGTGGTGCTCTGGGTCAGTCTGGTGACGGTCGACCAGCGTTATGACCAGTCACTGCCCTGTGTCACGACCGGATGTCAGTCTCCGTGGAGGCGCGACCGCCACGTCTCCCGTGCCGCCCGGTCTGGCCCAGTTGGCGCAAGCACCGACCGGCTCGTTGCCGTGCTAGTGGTCGGAAGATATCATCGCGCCCTGGCCGATCGTGACCCGTTCCGCGCTCGTGTTGCGTGTCGCGAGATAACGACTCATTAGTTTGGGTAAATAGCATCGTGAATTGCCTCCGACCTGCGGGCTCGCCTGGTCACCGTCTAAACGACGATTTATCGGAGATGTACACTACCGGACCGGGGCTGACCTGACCTGACGTGACCTGACGTGGCCTGACGTGTGTGCCCTCAGGTCACCAGCTGACGGGCCGCTCGTCGGTGGAGATATATCGGCAGTGTCTGCTGATGGGCTGCCGCTGCGTGGAGCTGGACTTCTGGAACGGACGGACCGAAGAGCCGATCGTGTGCCACGGCTACACGCTGGTGCCTGAGATCCCGGCCAAGGTGGGCGGCCGGCCGCGCGCCGCAGTGCCCGCTGCTCGGGCCGGCACGCCGCCATCGGACGGGCGCCCGGCTGGTGACGGTCCCCGAGGCGGCCGCACCGAGCCGGGCGAGTGCTCTCGCCGCTGCGAGCGGCCGCCATTAGCGGGGGTCGTGCCGGCGGGCGGGACGGCGCGCCGCGTCGACCGGAAGACGTGTGGCGTGGCGCGGAGACTGCGGACAGCCGCCGGCGGCCGCCGCTCCCCCGGCGGGCGTTGCGACAGAGACGAAGCGGCTGCGGGCGGGGGACCGATGGCGGCGATTTCGCCCATAATGCGGCTGCTTGTCGCCGCCCGAGCACGGCGGCCAGAGGCCTGTCGCCGCCGGCTGGCTCCGCCCTCACTCGGACCCTCTGTCCGTCGGTAAACGATGCGCGTCCGGGTTCCGACCCGGATGGGGGAGCCGCGGGGGGCACTCTGGCTGAGTACCGGGCTGGCCGGCATCGAGCTCCCGGGAGCGGCGTGTTTGGACGGCCTACGTGCCGAGGGCGCCGACGAATGAGCGGCACGTGACCGGTGGCCGCGGCGCGTGTCGCCGCCGCCCGCTCAGATTCGATCAGAGCGCGCCGACGGCCCGCCGCCAAATGACCCGTGCAAATGCCGTTGCAGGACGTGATCGAGGCGATCGCCGAGGCGGCGTTTAAGACGTCGGACTGGCCGGTGATCCTGTCGTTCGAGAACCACTGCAACCCCAAGCAGCAGGCCAAGATCGCACAGTACTGCCGCGAGCTGTTCGGCGACATGCTGCTGGACGCGCCGCTCGAGGACCATCCGGTGAGGGAGGGCTGGCGCTCCCGCCAGCCGTTCACCCGAAGACGGCGCGCCGCGTCCCCTCCGGCTCCCAGTCAGGCTGAATGGAGCACTTACGCTGCCGGGCCGGAGATGTCGCCGTACCGGTCGTGTTTGTGTTGCGCCGAGGCCGGCCAGGGCGCCCGGCCGGCGATGTCTAACCGGGAAGACGGCGACCACTGGTTAGGTCTTGGACACTCACTCACTCACTCACTCACTCACTCACTCACTCACTCACTCACTCACTCACTCACTCACTCACTCACTCACTCACTCACTCACTCACTCACTCACTCACTCACTCACTCACTCACTCACTCACTCACTCACTCACTCACTCACTCACTCACTCACTCACTCACTCACTCACCCACGCACGCACTCGCTCGCTCGCTCGCTCGCTAACTCACTCACTCACTCACTCACTCACTCACTCACTCACTCACTCACTCACTCACTCACTCACTCACTCACTCACTCACTCACCCATCCACCCAATGACCCACTCACCCACTCACACTCACTCTCACTCACTCACACTCACACACTCATTCATTCGCTCACCCACCCATCCACTCACTCACTCGCTAACAGTCACACTCTCGCTCGTATTCATTCAGTCCGTCAGTCCGTCGTCCGTCCGCCACTGTGTGTGCCAGCATACTTGCGTCGCCGGCCGTCGCGGTCCCCCTCAGGTCCGGAGCCGCCGCGCCGTATCGGCAGAGATCGAGTGTCTTGTTAGGCGGCGCGCGCGACGGCCGCGCCCGAGTCAGATCGGTTGGACGCTGGGCGGCTGCGGTCCGATTTACAGGCTCGTTAAAGTGCCGCGATATTGACGCTGCGCGGCGGACGGCGCTCGGCTAGGCCGGCCGCGCTCGCTCCGACAGGGTCACGTACACACCGGGCCTGGGCCGGCTGCTCACCCGGCCGGGATCAGGTGCTCACCCGGCCGGCATCGGGTGCTCACCCGGCCGGCATCGGGTGCTCACCCGGCCGGGATCAGGTGCTCACCCGGCCGGGATCGGGTGCTCACCGCGATGGGGTCGAGAGCTCACCAGGCCGGGGTCGGGCCCTGGCAGGGACGGGACCAGGTGCTCGCCGTGCTTACGGGACACGCTCACCGGGCCGGTGGTGATATCAGGAGTCTTCGGTGGCAAACACTGTCTGGTCCTCTGTCTTGGTCACTGTCTGGTCCTCTGAGGACTCGCCCTCTTGTGTTGGCTGCCCGACGACCGCTCCTATCTGCTGTGCGTTGGCAGAAACGTGTGGTGTGTTCTGTTTTTGTCATGTTTGCTGCGCTTTGCCACGTGGAGGAGAAAGCTGGCCGTGCTAAACAAAGCCGGCGTCACGACCAGCTGTCGGTAGGCCATACTCAGGGGTATATACTCGCCGACTAGACGACGGGCCGGTGTTGTGGTTGGCCCCCCGCGCGGCACCCGGCCTTCCCGCTGGCCGGGTGCGGCGGGCGAGCGGTGCCACCGACGCCGCCGACGACGCGCGAGGCTGGTGCACGTCTGAGGTTGGACGGCGTGTTGAAGACGGTGGTATATCACGATTTCGTGCGGGTAGTACGGTGTTTGTACGTGACGCTGGTCATTAACACGCCGGCGTGGGGCGGTTGGGAACGAGCTTTATTGACGTCATACACGGAAAAAGTGGAAGCCGGTCAAGCAATTGTGGCTGGCGGCCACATGATGTGGAAATGAAGCCTGATCCGAGTCCCAGTCCTCACCACCGTTTTTATCACCGTCATATTAAGCGCTGTTAGTAGTGTTCGTCATCATCACCATCATGAAGCGCTCGTGATGCAGATGCGCGTCTAGCTGTGCGGGCGGGCGGTCGCCGCCGCCGGTAGGTCTGTCACGCGTCCGCCTCTGACTCGTGCTGCTCCCTCCAGCTGGTGCCGGGCGCGTCGCTGCCACCGCCGACCGCGCTGCGCAGGAAGATCTTGATCAAGAACAAGAAGAAGCACCACAAGCCGAAGGTGGTGGTGAAGCACTCCGACACGACATTCCACGTGCCGGTGGAGTCCACCGGCCCCAGCGAGGTGCGGCTGGGGCCGACGGCGCGCTCTCTGGACAGAATGTCGATGCCGCGGCTCGGATGGGCTGGGTCTCGCTGCACGGGCGCCGCGCGCTCTCGGGCTGCTCGGGCTCTGAAGTCTTCTGCTGGCCGTCTGTTTTGCGTCATTTTGAAAGTGCCGTGTGTAATTGCTTTGAAGTGTGGCATGTTCGCATTTGGTCCATTGTCCTTGTCGCATTATGTATTCAAAGCCGAATCCACAATGAAGGAGGCCTGATTTGTATGCGTCGCTGCTTAGCCGTTACTAAGGTACTAGCATCGTGTTTTCCATCGTAGAGATCGTAGCCCTTTGTGTTAACAAGACGGGGATGTTTGTACGATGGATTGGGTCCCAGGAACTCCCCGGGGCCTCAGGAACTCCCCGTTCGATGGGAGCGGCCCTGTGTCTGCCGGCGAGCCCGTCCGTGACGCCGCCGCCGCCGCCGTCGCCAGGCGCTGGGCAACGGGGACGTGGCGCGGCCGGCGGCGCCGCTCGAGAAACACCCCAGCCAGCCGGAGCCGGACGAGCCGGACGAGGACGAGGCAGGCAGCAGCTCCGATTCGGACGAGGACAGCCTCAGCCCGGAGGAGCGCCGACTGCGCGAGCGCACGCAGAAGGAGACGGGCACGGCCGGCAAGGAGTCGGAGGCGGGTGCTGAGATCTCGGCGCTCGTCAACTACGTGCAGCCCGGGCACTTCCACAGCTTCGCGGAGGCTGAGCGTGAGTCCCCGCGGCTGGGGGCAGCAGGTCCGCTGCCGGGGGACGGGAGGTCCGCGGCTGTGGGCGTGAGTCCCCGCGGCTGGGGGCGGCAGGGCGGCTCCCAGGGTACGTGAGTCCTGCGGCTGGGGGCAGCAGGTCCGCTGCCGGGGGACGAGAGGTCCGCGGCTGGGGACGTGAGTTCCCGCGGCTGGGGGCGGCAGGTCCGCTCCCAGGGTACGGGAGGTCCGCGGCTGGGGGCGCCAGTTCCCGCGACTGGGGGTGGCAGATCTGCTGCCGGGGGACGGGAGGTCCGCTCCCAGAGTACGGGAGGCCCGACGGTGTGCGGAGGACCCGTGAGGTCCGTGACCGCCGGAAGTCGTGGTGCGTCGTGTTCGGTGGCCAGTTCTTGATTGAGTGGGTAGTACCCGAGGTGACTTTGGTTTCTTATGGCTTAACATGTTCAACTTTTCACCTCAGTCGTTCATATGTGAAATAGCTGACCGTGGCCTGTAAGGTAGCTAACGGGATCGGGTGCAACGGCTGCACAGGACAGGTCACAAGGTCATTAGGAGCACGGCATTTTCCCATGACGGATGGGTCTCCAGGGTCTGAAGGGTCCACGCCTTGAGTACTGGCTGCAGACTCGCTGCAGATTCTGTAGCCAGTCAGTCGTGGCAGACAAGACGTCACATTTTTACAAGGCCCGCGGGCTAAAACGTAGCACCTCCAGCCTGTAATAGCTGGCTGGCGGCCGAATCTGGAGCCATTCTACGGCTAGTACGCAAGGTGCGAACGAACCTTGCGCCGCGCAGTGAGATGCCGCTGTCGCCGCCGCCGGGCCGCCGCCCCCGGGCCGCCGCCCCCGCTGCGCGTGGTGTGTGGTGTCGGGCCCGGACGTGACGAGCGCGGCTCCTCCGCAGGCCGGGACCGCAGCTACGAGATGTCGTCGCTGGTGGAGACGCAGGCCACGGCGCTGCTGAAGGCGCACCCGGTGGAGTTCGTCAACTACAACAAGCGCCAGCTGAGCCGCGTCTACCCGCGCGGCACGCGCGTCGACAGCTCCAACTTCATGCCGCAGGTGTTCTGGAACGCCGGCTGCCAGCTGGTGGCGCTCAACTATCAGACGCTCGGTGAGGAGACGGCGCAGCCCCTCCCCGACCCCTTCTTCCTTGTCATTATGAACGCCACGCACGCACACATGCCGGACTTCGAGCGGTGGGCGGAGCGGCGAACTGGCACGGCATGGAGCGTCGCAGTTGGAGATTGCCGACTCTGGGATGTGTCTTCTGGACGGGAAATCCTGTTGTGAAAGCTCTTTGTCGTGTGTGGTTAGTTCATTCCCACCCCGCTCGCTGCCAAATGGGTCGAAAGACGCCGTCGTTTAAAGTAAATTCAGTCGCCTCTTTCATCTTGAAGACGCATCCCTCACAAATGCTGTTGCAAATGCATCAGTTTTCAGATTTACTTCTCAGCGTGAAGGCCTTTTGGCGTCGCGCTGTCAGCAGCTTGATTGAGGGCTTCCGGGACGTCCTTTCTGAAGTGGGCGCGCCCGAGTAATGGACCGGAACCAATTCATCCGGTCATTATATCGGGGTCCACTTGCTAACGAGTCGCTAGCACGATGTTTGCGTTATCTGAGCGGGGCCGGCGGGACACCGCGTCGCCGCCGTCGCCGGGCAGCCAGGGTGGGTGCGCTCAGTGGGCACGTGCGCCCTACGTCCGGCGGCGGAGCGTCCGGCAGGGCCCGGACTGTGAGCGGCGCGGGCGGCGCACTGGCCGCGGCCGCTCGCCGGCCGGGCGGGACAGAGCGCCGAGCCGAGCTGGCGGTGTGTCGAGCCGAGCGCACGCTGCGCCGCTGGGACAGCGACCTGTGCTGGCCGGGGGCACAGAGCGCCGAGCCGAGCTGAAAAAAGGAGGTTATGGGCGCCATATGACCAACGAAGCCGGTGCGCCCCAAAGCCCAAATCATCATCATCATCGAGCCGAGCTGACGGTGTGGACGCTGCGTCACTGGGACGGCGGCCTGCGTTGGCCGGGCGGTACAGCGCCGAACCGAGCTGACAGCGTGTCGAGCCGAGCGGACGCTGCGTCGCTGGGACGGCGGCCTGCGCCGGCCGGTCGCTCCGAGTGTCAGCTATTGGCCGCGGCTCCATCGCCCTCGGTTGGTCGACCGGGCGCGTGACCGGGGCCGTGGTGACGCCGTAGCTGGCGCCGGGGTGGCGGTGGGTGTTGAGGCGCCGGCCGCGCCCCGCCGCCGCCGCGAGCCGCCGCGCCCGGTCGTCAGCGGCCCACCGATGTGGACGGGTATTGACCGGCTAGTTAGCGGTCGGCCTGCGCCCGTTTGTTACCGACCGGCGTCGCGGTGTCTGGCCGTGCTGGCGCCGGTTCGCCCGTCCCCGATCAGCGGATTGGCTGACCTGGGGCTCACCGAGGAGGGGGCAGCATGGAAAGGCGCGGGTCAGACAGAAGCGCGCCAATGCTGCGGTGCGGTGTACAGTCACGATCAGAAACAAGGCTCTGAGTTGCGAGTCCGTGGGTTTGCTGTTGACGCTGCTTTGTGCTTTTGGGCCAATAGTTTTTGTTACACAAAGCGTCTGCATTCGCGAGGCCATCAGTGTGCTAGAGGAATGAGTAGAACTCAAACTCCGTACACCATTTTCCTTTAGCCTTATAAGTTAATCAGAACGGGAGATTCGGACGTTCGGGAAAGGTACCTGTTGCAAGCAAATCTCATGTGTAATAGCCTACCTTGTATGGGTGAGCAGCGCTGCCTTTCGGGTACCGGGCACAGCAAACCAGTTCTGTGACAGATCCCACGTTGTTTGATATACAGGCTATCGACAGCCGTTGAGGGCTGGTCCCACAGAATTTGTTTCTCATAGTTTCCGTCAGAAATACTCCTCTTAAAGATGCTGGTGAACATTCTGCTTCATTGTCTGTTTTTGTGCAGGAATGGACTCGGTGGCACCAGAATAGCACATTCAAGTCGTAGAACGAGGAAACTCGTTGAGAGAGTCTGTCTTAATGGCGAAAGTTGCTGAATTTCAACGAGCTAGATGGAAGTTGGGTGCCCTTAGTCCCTGCCGTATCATTTTTTCACAGGCCTAGTGCCGGCGACATTGTGATATCTGTTCCTTCTGAAGCTTAGACGATGTACAGGGAATTCATTTACTCTGAAAACGTCAATCACACTCGGCAGGTTGCACTCGCGGTTGTGCGAAAATGCGAGGCCGCACCCGCTGGGTGTGCTGGGGCTCCAGTGTCTGCATCGACGCGGGGTTCGCCATCCATACTCGGGCGCCGCGCCCACGTGCTGTCTTTGGTCACTCTGTTCAAGAGTCCTGCGCTACTATCCTGCTGGGACATGTGAAGCTGTTTGTTGTGACAGAAGCACTCTCCTGACACTCAGAAACGACGTGAAGTGTGCCTTCCGGCCTTCACCGACGTTCTTTGGATCTCAGCAAGCATCTGAGTCACGCTAGGTGGGATCGAGAAGGGACGAGAACAAGTCGAAGGCATACAGTTTACTTTCAATAATTCGTGTGACTTGCAAGTAACACTTCTTCTCTGTATTTTGCTTAATATTACAATCTAAAGGCTTGGAAAAGGTCCCAACCTCACATCAAATGATCAAAAATCTTTCCTTCCTTTTCCTATTCATTCTGAAATCAGAAAACAATTATCGTATCATTTAGTTATTTTTAGCATAAATGTATCTTGTACGCTGTACAGAGACCAGAAAAGGTCGAGACATGGGTGAACAGCGTGCCCCGGCGGTGGTGAAAGCATTTGTTGGGGAGTAAGCACTGGGACATCATTAATGCGTCAAATAAAATATCCATCCTCATTGGTTGGTACAGCGCGTGACGTCACAATCCGCCACCGACTGGCAGCTGCGCCTGGCCGCCCTGCTGTCGGCCATTGATGTGGTCATCGCTGGCCATGTGACATTTTTGGTTTTTCGATGTCGTCCGCTTCGAAATTGTACGGCAGACCAATGCATTTAATTCCATGAACTCAAGCGGCTTAGACCATAAGGCTGGGGTTGTGGGTATCTGCACGGCGATTCGGATTTTTCAGGTCGAAAGACGAAAAGGTATAAGATGCACTCACAACGATGAACGTTCTCCGTGATTGCTGTCCACGAGCGCCTTGAGTACTGGAGCTTAGGTTCGGCATTTTTTATCGTGACTTGGCAACATGTATTATCGGTGTGACCTGGCAACATGTGTCATCGGTGTGACCTGGCAACATGTGTCATCGGTGTGACCTGGCAACATGTATTATCGGTGTGACCTGGCATTATGTGTTATCTGTGATACTGACCGCTCGGTCGTGCGACGCGTGTGACATGACTCTTGGTGTGAGATGGCTCAGGTCGACGTCGCCGTGCCTCATGCACTCTCCCTCCGGGCCGTCCGTGGTGCCCCGGCCTCTTGAGTGCCCCGCGCGCCCCGTCTGGAGTGTCCCGGCCTCTGACGCTCCCTCCTGTCCGCCTGTTGAATCCCGGCCTCTGGAGCGTCTCGGTCTCTGACGCGCTCGGCTCGCTCGTCAGACCTGGCTATGCAGCTGAACACGGGCATCTTCGAGTATAATCACCGGTCTGGGTACCTGCTGAAGCCAGAGTTCATGCGGCGGCCCGACCGTCGCTTCGACCCCTTCGCCGAGTCCACCGTGGACGGCATCATCGCCGGCACCGTCTCTGTCAAGGTGAGGTCCAGAAGCTGTGGCGTGTGGAGTCTCCAGGTGGTGGGCATCTGCTGACTATTGATGTTGTGTGCAGTGTGTGCGGAGTGAGGTTGATGGATAAGCAGCGCGTTGTACGGCATGTGCGAAGGCAGGGTAGGTAGACATGCGTTGTAGGCAGACTGTGTCAGTTCGAGATCTGAAGACACAGTGCCTGCCATGTTTTACAGTCCATTCCGAAATGAGGGTCGCAATCTTTACCACACAAAATGCATAATTCGTTAATGTGGGACTCGCCGTACGTCAGTCATATGTGGTTGTGTGGTTCTTCCCTCTCGCCGTATTTCTGTTGTAGTTCAAATATGATGGGCCGCTCGATGCTGCGACGTGTGGCGCCTTTTCGGTATTACTAATAAATGAGGGGAGGGGCGGGTATGTGTGATTGTTGTATTATTGCCAACGGGAGGCCAAAAAGACTGCCCGCTGCTTTGCTGGAATGTGTCTTGAACTACGCAAGATCATCACAGTGGTATTTTGATTCTGCAGCCATGTTTCATGCTGCTGCAAATTTGCTCATCATGACAAGCCATGTGGGTGCGATATTGAAAAAAATACTGAAACCGATATATTTTAGTTCAAAGATGCCTTTGTGTGCGTCTGGGTTTGTCGAATTTTGTCGTCTGGTTAAGGATACGGTCACAAATTGTGTCATACGAGTTACTTTGAACTATCCTTGAGCCCGTTTCCCATGTTTTATTGCATGAATCACGTATACGTGTTCGATTTAAAATAGCTGGTATGGACCCAAACCAACTCGATGATCCTTGAGCATCACGCTGTCGACACTCTGAAATCCTCACCACTCCTTTGTAATTCATGTATGCATGAGCCGTTTGATTGCTGTCTTGTTCCAGCGATGGTGTTCCCATTTGGTTTTTATATGGTTTCCTTCAAACTCTCTGAGGTAGAAATACGGACGTAGGTCTGGCTCTGTGGTGAGGTTAGGTTTTCCCGCTGTAACTGGTCTTCTTTTAGCCTAGGGCTTGGATCTGGCTGGCTCGAGGCAGCCACGAACTATGTCAGCCCTGGGGGCACCTTTGCGCCCGACCCTCGCTTCGCGCATCACGTATTGACAACAGAGGCACAGGCATGCCAGTAAACGGAGCAGTCAACGACCCCCCTGTGTCAGTGGAAACCTGCACCGACCGTGAGACTAGCCGCCTCAAGTATGCTTAAGTTTTGGGTAAGTTCGCGGAGAAAACGGCCGTACTTTCGACAGACAGGGCTCGGTTGCTTACGCCACCTGATCTACAGTCGACACTCCAGCCTGACTGTCGCTGCCGCCCCGGTGTCGGAGATGGAAATAGCCTGCAGTTTGAGAGCCTGATAGGAGTGGAGACGAATGCCTGACGTGATTGCGCGCTGCATGCCCAATGGAATGGCCCGAGCGGAGCGCGCGATAGCCTACCATTCTCGGGAGGGCTGGCTCGATCCCGCCGGCAAAGGCCAATGGCTGCGCCGATTAGCTGGCGAGCGTCGCCGACTTGGCCGATGCATGATTTATGTGTTGGAAGTGGGCTGACTGCGAACGACGCGAGTCCAGCCGAGCTATTTCGGCGCTGCGCCGGGCCTGATGGCCGCTCCCCGACGGACCCATCTCGCGACCGGTGTTTATGGGATGAACAGCGGCCGTTCTCCTGTGGAGTTGACTCGCTCGGCGCCGCACCGCACGTCTCCTGCCGTCGCGCCCCGTCCAACTCGGCCGCCTGGGAAAGCGGCGGCGGACTCCGGCGCCTCCGCGTGACGTCAGAGCCTAACCGGAGCCGCTCTCTCTCTCTCTCTCTCTCTCTCTCTCTCTCTCTCTCTCTCTCTCTCTCTCTCTCTCTCTCTCTCTCTCTCTCTCTCTCTCTCTCTCTCTCTCTCTCTCTCTCTCTCTTCTCTCTCTCTCTCTCTCTCTCTCTCGCTCTCTCTCTCTCTTCTCTCTCTCTCTCTCTCTCTCTCTTCTCTCTCTCTCTCTCTCTCTCTCTTCTCTCTCTCTCTCTCTCTGTCTCTCTGTCTTCTCTGTCTCTCTGTTCTCTCTGTCTCTGTCTCTCTGTCGCTCTGTCTCTAGTCTCTGTCTCTCTGTCTCTCTGTCTCTTGTCTCTCTGTCTCTCTGTCTCTCTGTCTCTCTGTCTCTGTCTCTCTGTCTATCTGTCTCTCTGTCTCTCTGTCTCTCTGTCTCTCTGTCTCTCTGTCTCTGTCTCTCTGTTCTCTCTGTCTCGCTTGTCTCTCTGTCTCTCTGTCTCTCTGTCTCTCTGTCTCTCTGTCTCTCTGTCTATCTGTATCTCTGTCTCTCTGTCTCTGTCTCTCTGCTCTCGTCTCTCTGTCTCTCTGTCTCTCTGTCTCTGTCTCTCTGTCTCTCTGTCTCTCTGTCTCTCTGTCTCTCTGTTCTCTCTGTCTCTCTGTCTATAGTCTCTCTGTCTCTCTGTCTCTCTGTCTCTCTGTCTCTCTGTCTCTCTGTCTCTCTGTCTCTCTGTCTCTCTGTCTCTCTGTCTCTGTCTCTCTGTCTATCTGCTCTCTGTCTCTCTGTCTCTCTATCTCTGTCTCTCTGTCTCTCTGTCTCTTCTGTCTCTCTGTCTCTCGTCTCTCTGTCTCTCTGTCTCTCTGTCTCTCTGTCTCTCGGTCTCTCTGTCTCTCTGTCTCTCTGTCTCTCTGTCTCTCTGTCTCTCGTCTCTCTGTCTCTCTGTCTCTCTGTCTCTCTGTCTCTCTGTCTCTCTGTCTCTCGTCTCTCTGTCTCTCTGTCTCTCTGTCTCTATGTTCTTCTGTCTCTCTGTCTCTCTGTCTCTCTGTCTCTCTGTCTCTCTGTCTCTCTGTCTCTCTGTCTCTCTGTCTCTCTGTCTCTCGTCTCTCTGCTCTCTGTTCTCTGTCTCTCTGTCTCTCTGTCTCTCTGTCTCTCTGTCTCTCTGTCTCTCTGTCATCTCTGTCTCTCTGTCTCTCTGTCTCTCTGTCTCTCTGTCTCTTGTCTCTCTGTCTCTCTGTCTCTCTGTCTCTCTGTCTCTCTGTCTCTCTGTCTCTCTGTCTCTCTGTCTCTCTGTCTCTCTGTCTCTCTGTCTCTCGTCTCTCTGTCTCTCTGTCTCTCTGTCTCTCGTCTCTCTCTGTCTCTCTGTCTCTCTGTCTCTCTGTCTCTCTGTCTCTCTGTCTCTCTGTCTCTCGTCTCTCTGTTTCTCTCTGTCTCTTGTCTCTTGTCTCTCTGCTCTCTCTCTCTCTCTCTCTCTCTCTCTCTCTCTCTCTCTCTCTCTCTCTCTCTCTCTCTCTCCGTCGGCGGAGGCGCCCTCCGGCCGCGGTCTTCGGCGTGTGCCGGGTCGCGCGCGTCGACGCCGCTGGCAGCCGTTGCTGACGCCCCCGCCCCGTCGGCAGGTGATCTCCGGTCAGTTCCTCTCCGAGAAGCGGGTGGGCGTCTGGGTGGAGGTGGACATGTACGGCCTGCCCGCCGACACCGTGCGCCGGCGCTTCAGGACGCGCGTCATCCAGAACAACGCCATCAACCCTGTCTGGGACGACGAGACGTTTGTCTTCAAAAAGGTGACGCCGGCGGACGGACGGAGAGTGGATGGAACGTTGTTTTCTTACAACAGACCAGGACCTCATGAATGAGATGCTATGTAAAGCTGCTGTAAAGCCTGGGGTCTTTTCATGCCTGTGATAGTCAGATGGTGCGCACTGGTGCGTAATGTTCTTGCTCGTGGGCTGCGATCCCGTCTGACCGCCTGCATCTGGGCGGCGGTGTGTGACCTGACCTGACCTACTGCAGGTGGTTCTGCCGGACCTGGTCTGTATCCGGGTGGCGGTGTGTGACCTGACCTGACATACTGCAGGTGGTTCTGCCGGGCCTGGTCTGTATCCTGGTGGCGGCGTGTGACCTGACCTGACTTACCGCAGGTGGTTCTGCCAGACCTGGTCTGTATCCGGGTGGCGGCGTTTGACCTGACCTGACCTACTGCAGGTGGTTCTGCCGGACCTGACCTGTATCGGGTTGGCGGCGCGTGACGTGGCCTGGGCTGACCTGACCTACCGCAGGTGGTTCTGCCGGACCTGACCTGTATCCGGGTGGCGGCGTGTGACGTGGCCTGGGCTGACGTGACCTACCGCAGGTGGTTCTGCCGGACCTGGCCTGTATCCGGGTGGCGGCGTTCGAGGAGTCTGGCCGCCTGCTGGGCCACCGCGTGCTGCCCGTGATCGGACTGCGGCCCGGCTACCGGCACATCAGTCTGCGCAACGAGTCGGGCCAGCCGCAGGGCCTCAGCACGCTGTTCGTCAAGGTGAGACGGCGGCGCCCGGCTGCTGCCGGCTCTCGGCGGCCCGACACGTCCCCGGTGTCACCTGCTCGGGCTGACCGCGCCGCCGAAGGTGAGACGGCGGCGCCCGGCTGCTGCCGGCTCTCGGCCGCCCGACACACCCCTGGTGTCGCCTGCTCGGGCTGACCGCGCCGCGCGGCCCACGGGCGTCGCAAGGCCCTCCGTGTAGACAGACGGCCCGCCCGGCGCGGGCAGCCTGCTGACGCGCCGGGCGAGGCGGCCGACGAGGCGGGGCGGGGCCGACCGAGACCGAGACGGCCAGGGGATGTGTGAATCATGTCAGTTTGTTCAGCTGACGCAGCCGGTGGCCCGGATGGCCCGGTGGAGGCCGCCACGCCCCTGGAGGGTCAGCCGGGCAGGGCGGCGGCCCCGGCGCGACCCCGCCGCCCCGGGCTGGCGCTGGTGGTGTTAGTATTTACGGGCGCTATTTGCAGCTGACTTTGTTGAATCACCCAACTCGGAGAGTTGGCTTGTTTTTGTTCGCTGAAGTGGAGGACAGCTAATGTGCTCCACCCATTTCGTTTTCGTTATTCCGGCTCTGAATGCGCGGGCCATTTCTTCAATCAGCATTTGTAGCGGAACTTGGTTCTGATTTGTCATTGAAGAGGAGCGTCCGCAGCGTTATTGATTGCTAACGGGCTGCAATATTAACGCTCTATGAATTATGTATGAGAAGCTCAGAAAAATTGCGCGCCGTATTTTCGGAGCCGGCTGGGACTATTACAATGATTTATATCCGAAAAGCACTGTAGCTTTGGCGAAATATCTGATGCGGAGGCGCCGAAAGTATGAAATGAAACATGCAGGCCGCGTTATATCTTTTGCAGACATTTTACTCATGTGTTCCACGGGGATTACATTTTGTTTTGCTGGCTGCACTTACTCTGCGGTACCCATGGATGCATGGACCAACCGTCTGTATTTAGTGCGCGGGAAGGGGATTGTAGGAAGTGCTTTGGCGATTATTTCCATCGTCAACTTGTGTGGAGGCCCTTGTTGAATGCTACCGATTGCGAATTCTCCGAAACAAGTGAAAAGGCGGAATGCAGGTTTTGGCTGGCTTGTTTTATGTTAGCTCTGTATGGGATGATTGCATACTGTGCAGCGTTGTAGGCGCGTGCGCGTCAGCCTTTCACAACGTTGTGGGGCGCAATGGACTGCCGTTGTGTTCAGCAAGTAAGGTAGGAAGGGTGGACACCTGTACCGACCGAACGGAGAGGATTATATTCGGTCGCACCTGTCTATCGTGTCGCTTGAATTGGAGCTTGCGGCACATTAACGGCGTTTCGCTGTCAGAATGCAGCCGCTATAACGGCGTCTGTGCAGGAATGATCGCTGTCAGAATACAGCCGTTATAGCGGCTTCTGTGCAGGATTGATCACTGTCAAAATGCAGCTGTTAGAACGGCGTCTGTGCAGGAATAATCGCTGTCAGAAGACAGCCGTTATAACAGTGTCTGTGCAGGAATGATCGCTGTCAGAATGCAGCCGCCATAACGGTGTCTGTACAGGAATGATCGCTGTCAGAATACAACCGTTATAACGGCATCTGTGCAGGAATGATCGCTGTCAGAAGACAGCCGTTATAACAGCGTCTGTGCAGGAATGATCGCTGGCAGAAGGCAGCCGTTAGTCATTTGAGAGGACTGCGAGTCAATATACCGCCGGTATTAAACTGCTGCATGCCAGTCGCAGATGTGCGTGCCTGTCATCAAGCTGGCAGGGATTTATTGTTCTGCCGTAAACCACGTCTGCTGACAGAGTCACGTTATTGGAAGCCGTCGAGCGTCGACGCCGTGCCGAAGTACAGTCAGCTCTGAACCGGTCGGTGTCTCGGAGTCCCGGCCGATGTCTTCAGCATGATGCTCTCAGATGCCCTCATGAGGAAACGTTGCTGGCTCCATTGCCGCCAGGGTTTGGCGACGCTCCCCCCCCCCCCCTGCCATCCGCGCACCCTGCCCCATAGCTGTGCTCCGACGCGCGCGCTCTCACTCGGCTCTGTGTCCGCTCGCCAGGTGAAGGTGGGCGACTACGTGCCGGACGGCCTGTCCGACTTCGCCGAGGCGCTCGCTAACCCGATCAAGTACCAGAGCGAGCGGGAGAAGCGCTCGTTACAGCTGCGTGTGCTGACCGACGAGGGCGACGAGGCCGAGGTGGGTAGTCGCCGGTCCGGGGAGGGTTCGGCCTGGAGACGCCGGTCCGACCGGCGGACCGAGATGGGCGGACCGAGATGGGCGGGCCAGCGTGGTGCCGGGCCGTCCGTCCAGCAGCACACTGTGCGGTCTCGTGTCAGAACTCCGGCGGTGGTTCATTACAGCCGGATGGTGTAGCAGATGACAGCGATTTCTTCGGTGTCGACGTCTCAACGCGCCCAGCATGTAACTTGCGATGAGCGCCGCGAGGCTCGTCATCGTTGTCATGATTGTTAAACTCTCGTCATCATCACCATCAGCGCCATCACAACCGTCACACTGCTCGTGTCGAGTCGACAGGGCCGGCCTCACTCGGCGGCCTCGCCCGCGCCGCCCGTCGTCCGCGGACGCCGGCTGACCTGGCGCCGCCCGTTGCAGCAGCCGGCGGCGACCGAGGAGGACGACACGCTCTGCGTGCTGCCCTCGGCCACGTCGCCGGCCGGCTGCGCGCGCAGGAACGGCGCCGACCGCGACGGCGGCTGCGCGGTGGGCGGGCTCGAGCCGCCGGCGGCCGCCGCCGCCGCTGCCGCCGCCGGTCAAGAGGCGAACGGCACGGGGGGCCCCGGCCTCTCGCCGGCCACCCTCCCCGACCTCTCCATCATGCACAGTGAGTGGCCGAGGGCGGGGGACACGCGGCCGGGCGGGGGCGGTGCGGCGCGCGGTGCTGGCGGGCGGTGTCGGTGCTGAGGTGATGTTCGGGCGATACTTGTCACGGGCAGAGAATCAGCTTTGTGTCCGCGCCGGAGTGAGGCTGGTAGGCAGAAGGCTCCTGGTTATTTGTTTGTACGCGGTATTATTTTTGTTTACCAATGCTGTCGTAGCGCAGGCCGGCAAAGTAGCCGGTTCATAGTCGCAGCATGTTTGTCGCCAAAGCAGCCCGCTGCTGCCTGTGCCGGGTGGTCCGGTGAGGACATCTGGTGGGTCAGCATCGTAGCGTCGTCGATGTGGTAGGTGCCGAGCCCTGTGTGTATGTGTCCTGCGGCGAAGCTGCGCCCTCTGCAGCTCAGCCCGCTCTCTTGGTCTGGCGCTCGGCGACGCCGTGCTAGCGTGTTGGTCCCCCCTCGACGTTTGCGCCCGGCCCGTGCTCGGTGCGTGGTTGGCGGCGATCCTCGGTTGGCGCGCCCGGGAGCTGCCGCGAGCTGGGTGGCGGTGCCGCGGGCGGGCTCACCGGCCGCCGTGACCGTCGCCAGGTGCCGCCCTGACGCCCGGCCGCCTCGGCGCGTTCCCGATCATCCTCTGTCAGCACATCCTGCGCTCGCGCGGCTACCACGCGCTCGCACCGCGGCGGCCGCCGCCGCCGCCGCTGCCGCTGTCGCCGCCGCCGCCGCCGCCGCCGCCGCCGCCGGAACGCGCTGCGACCCAGACAGGTGCCCCCCCCCCCCACACCCGCACCCGCACTCGCACCCGCCCTTGCTACCCCGCCGCCGCCGCCGCCTCTGTCCCGCCGCCCCGCCCAGGTCCCGCTGCCGCCGCCGCTGCCGCCGGGTGCTGGTGGTGTGACTAACCTGCCGCGAGCAGCGCTGCTCGTCCAGGCGTCGGACGGGTGGGCCGGCAGCCGCGTCTGATGGCGAACGCAGGTGTGCCGCCGCGCCGAATGGCTTGTTACTGACCGGAGCGCGGCGAGCCGGCCGATGCGCGCGCGAAATAACGGCATCCACGCGCGCACTTGACGCCGATCGGCCAGAGCGGCGGTTGGGGGGAGGGGGTGGAAGGAGGCGGCGCCTGGCAGCACTCGGGGCCGTGCAGCTGCACTCAACGCGTGGAGGCGGTGTCGGTGTACATACGGTGCTGGGGCGAGGCTGCGCTGGGATGGCGGATGCGGTGTGGGTGAGGTGACATGCACTGGTAGTCGGCGGTGGTTTGTGGTCAGTGCGACGGTGGTTTGTGGTCGGCGATGAGTTTGTGCGTTGTTTCTTGAGTGAGTTGGTGCTGCGCATGCGACGGTGAGGATGCTCGCGACGGTGACACGTACATGACGTGTGGTTAGCGGTGGCGGTGCTGCACAGTTAGTGGCTCATTGGTGACGGCAGTGGAGAGCAGGCTGTGACTTGGCCAGATGTTGAACGTTTTCGCCACGTTGAGCAGTGGCCTGGCTCAAGAAGCATGTGTATTAGGAACATTTCACATAATTACCGTTGATTCAGCGTGCCATTTTATCGACGTGTATCAGTTCGCTCGCGGCCAGCCGTTTGTGTTCTGCACGCATCCGTCTCCTCAGCGAGGATAGACGATGGCCCGCCCTGTACCGATTCGTCAGCCCCCCCCCCCCCCCCCGCCACGGCCGAAGAGCCGAAGGAGCAGCCGTGCTCTCCTTGCCACTGTAACACTGCCGCGGCGTTCCAGGGCGCGTCGACTCCATGAAGAACCCGCGAGTTACCGGCTCCAACGAGGACGTTCCCACACCCGGTCAGTACCGGTGCACCCCGGGCTCGGTCTGTATACTGTGTAGTCCGTCCACTACTGCGGTCATGACCTGCATTTTCCATCGCCGCGAGCCATTGGCTCGATACAAACGCTGCGCCGCCGGCTTATGAAGTCTGTGCGGATCGTGAATGGTTCCTGGAATGTCATCGCAGCAAGCTATCCTTTGCGGTGGATACATGGACAAGGCCGTCCGGTGCGGCGCGGACAGCATTGACCACCGGGCATGCCGTACCGCAGCACACCGCTGGGATCACTGTGCCGCGGCGCGCCGCTGGGAGCACTATGCTACAGCACACCGCTGGGATCACTGTGCTACAGCACACCGCTGGGATCACTGTGCTGCAGCACACCGCTGGGATCACTGTGCTACAGCACACCGCTGGGATCACTGTGCTGCAGCACACCGCTGGGATCACTGTGCCGCAACACACCGCTGGGATCACTGCCGCAGCGCGCTGCTGGGATCACTGCCGCAGCACACCGCTGGGATCGCTGTGCCGCAGCACACCGCTGGAAGCACTGTGCCGCAGCACACCGCTGGGATCACTGCCGCAGCACACCGCTGGGATCACTGCCGCAGCACACCGCTGGGATCGCTGTGCCGCAGCACACCGCTGGAAGCACTGTGCCGCAGCACACCGCTGGGATCACTGCCGCAGCACACCGCTGGGAGCACTGCGGCACACACTGCCCCAGTCGTGTGCCGCGCTTTCTGGCAGGGACAGGTGACGACACGCCCGTGCCCTGGCGCCGCGCCCCCGCTGAACCCTGACCCCTGACCGCTGACCTCTGACCTCTGACCTCTGACCTCGCCGCCGGCCGACAGATCACCTGCTGACGGCCGTGCCGATCGACCTGCTCTGGGAGGAGAAGCCGGTGCGCGAGCGGCGCCAGGAGCTGGAGCGCAAGGTCGAGAGCCTGCGCCGCAAGTTGGACCGCGAGCGCGTCAAGCTGCAGGAGGCCGGCAGCGGCGGCCCGGCCGGCCGCAAGAACACCTTCTCCAAGACACACTCCAAGCTGGTCAAGAAGTTCTCCAACAAGACCATGTAAGCGGCTCGGCGAGAGGGTGACGGGGGGGGGGGGGGGGCGGAGCGGTTGTGTGCCGGAGACGTCCTGCGGTCACGGCTAGGGTGGGATGTGGCACGGTCCGCGGTGGGTAATCGAGCGATTTGTCGAGGCTGTGCGCCGACCTGTCGTTCCCGAATGAGATTTGTCGGTTGTAGGGAACCCCCGCTGTTGTGACCTCCACTTGGATTCTCGCGGGTGATGACAGAGGCATCGCTGTGAGGCGCCGTATTTTGTTCATGATGGTTCTGGCTTCGTATCGTCCAAGGAGGGATTTTATTGGCGAGGTATCTGTTTGTCATTGACAGCCGCGCGTGACATGTGAATGTGTCCTGAGTAATGTCAGTGACGTCTGGTCGGAGAAGGCAAGTCAGCAGAGACGATCAGATGGCGGTCCGATGTCAGCTGGCCGCGCGTTAGTGGGCGGTCCGATGAAACGGCCACTGACGACGCAGGCACTGGCGACGATGTGCGGACTTGAGCGCACAGGAGGTCGGCGGACGTCGGGCGGGAGAGGAACAGCCGGCCACCATGAGCTGGTGGCCACGTCACGCTCACGTCACGTCACGTGTGAACGTGACGCAGACCCAGCGGCGGCCGGTGTGGGGTCGGTGCGCCGCGGTGACGCGCCTGCTCCGTGCCGCCAGGGAAGGCATGAGTCTCAGCGTGCCCGACCCGGCCGACCAGACGGCCATGGAGTCGTTCTGCTCCCAGTTGGCGGCTTCAGAGAAAGAGCTGCGTGACAGGCACATCGACCTGGTGAGTGGCAGCGGCCCGTGGCCCGTCTGGCGGCCCGCCCGCGCCCTGTGACCGTCCGGGGCGCCGCTCCGCACGCTCCCACGCCATCCGTACTGTGCCGTCCGAAGCGACGCTCCGCACGCTCCCACGCCATCCGTACTGTGCCGTCCGGAGTTACGCTCTGCACGCTCCCGCGCCATCCACACTGCCGTGCCAAGTGCAGACGCTGCCGTCTCACACAGCTGACATTGGGCCGCACGGTACGTGGCTGCAGCACAGTATCGACTTAAGTCAACCCCGAGCTGGGGTGGCGTTGACAGAGTCCCATCACGTACAGCCTTTGTAACGTCGCTTGCACCGTTGTGACACCCACGCGCCCGCCGCAGATCTACGACGCGCTAGACAAGGTGGTGCGCACCTCGCAGGCGGCGCAACGAAAGAACCTGCAGGCCTACCACGAGCGGCGGGTGGCCGAGTGCAAGAAGAAGATCGAGCTCGACCGAAAGGAGGCGAGCAAGGAGCTAGTCAAGAAGGGCGTCTCCAAGGACGAGATGTCACGGTGAGGCCCCAGCGCCACGGAATGGCCGGGGACAAGTGGGCCTCTTTGGCATCACTTTGCACTTATAAAACTAGTATATTATGCATTGTGTTTGTATTATTTGGTATTCTTATTGCATTATGTACCTACTATATTGTTGTGACCGTATTGTCATTATTTTTTTATTGTATCCAGCGTGCAAGGAAGTTCGTTATGAGAAGTTGACGTCACCCACACGCTCGCCGCTCCTGTCCGGCAGGCTGCGACGGGAGATGTCGCAGGTGATCGTGAAGGCCGGCGTGCAGCGGCGCGAGCGACTGACTGAGCTGCAGCAGCAGGACGTGCAGTCACTCAACCAGCAGCACGAACAGGTAGCTGGCCGAGCGTCGGCGTCGGCTGCGCGCGCGCAGTGTCGGCGCGCCGCCGAGCGGCCGAATATCGGCCCGAATTCCAGACGCAGTGGCCTCGGTCGGCGCTTGAACGGGACGAGGCGAGCGTGGAATGGGTTTCGATGCCGTGAAGGTCCGGCAGACCCGAACTCGTCACTCGGGTGTTCCGCTGTGCGTTGGATGCCGTCACTTCCAGGTGGCTGCGTGACTGGACGAGCCTGGCAGGGGTACGAGCCGTGTGAGTGGGCAGTGAGCATGCGGCGAACGTAGTGCCGGCGCCACCGGTGAGCACACCGTAACGGTGCCCTTCTGCGGCGGCTGCAGGTGCTGCAGCAGGTGCAGGAGCGGCGCGAGACGGCCCACCAGCAGCTGAGCAGTGAGCAGGAGGCGCGGCTCGGCCAGCTCACCCGGGAGTGGGTCTACACGTCGGACACGGCGCTCACGTGAGGCCGGTCGCCGGCCGCTGCCGCCACCGCCGCCCCCGCCCCCGGCACAGGTGTGGCCCCAGCGCGGCTTCAGACACGACGGACTCGACCTGAGCAGGGCGTCTCTCGCCGTCGGACGGGTCTCGTGCGAGAGCGCAGGCGGCGCGCCGCTAACGGTCGAGTCATATGCCCTTGTTATGGATGCTTGCTGGGTGTTTATGTTGATTCACACGAACTGGCCTCAACTGTCGGCTGATAAGCCCCGCAAACACTGATCTTCAATCATCGTTGGAGTTGGATGCTTTTGCGTGACGCGAGTCACATCGGTGGTTGCGTATGCTGACAAATAAGCGTCAAACGCGTGGTAGCTGGCTGACCGCCTTGCGCACAGTTTCAGCACGGCCGGAAGCGCGTCAGCTCCGAATTCCGGCCCAGCCCACTGGCATGCAGGGCGACGTGTCGAACAAGTACAAAGTCACCGGCGGGCGCCGCCGGCCCGCGAGCACAAACACGCTCCGCGCGCCACCTGCCGCTGCCCGCGCACACTGTGTAGATGGCGCCGCTGGCGGACCCGCTGAACGCACGCGTCTTTAGACCAGCCACCGTTCGTTGTTGACGCCGGCGCCTGGGACCCGGCCCTCCCGGTGGTTTGTTGGGGTTGCGTTGGACTTGCCGGATTATTTATGTGATTTTCGTGTTCGTTCTAGGGTGTTTGCACGCACTGATTTCGAGCGAAGAGCATGGAGCGCGTCGTTTATGCAATACGATGGATAGTGGATATCAACGTTAGGCTGTAGTCAAGTGATGTCTCGGGCGTGTACAATGCTTTACCTCGCGGTGCGGCCTCAGCCGCGCGTGTCACCGTCTCGAGATCGCTGTACCGGGTGCGGTGGTACATGTGCTGTCTTGACGCTGGGCGCGTGTTGCCCTGGTTGTACCTTGGCCGGCGGCGCCAAGTTCCGGGCCATTCGCTCAACGCGATGGCGGCGCTCCGTGAGAGGACCGCGCGTTGGAGGTGCGATGTGTCCGGTCGCCCAGCCGTCTCTCCCTAACGTCAGCCGGCACTGCGGGCGACCGTGTGCATGACGTTGGCCGCGGGCGGCGCGGCCGCAGCCTGCGGCGGGCGCTCCGCGGCGTCCGCCGTCAGCGCGGTGGGGCTCGCACGCCGTTGTCCCGTTTCTTGTTGAGAACAAATCTGCCATTCTAGCCAAGCCGATTACGAGGGTTCGTGTGTTGACTCGGGGTTGGAGAGGCGCGCGGATGTCGGGAGTTTTCCCGCTGTGTCGCCGTGTCATGGCTGTCCCGTCGCGCCATCTTCCACTGCGCAGCGCACCAGCACCGGCTAGGCGTGGCTAGCCTGGCCGCCGGCCTCCCGCGTCAGGCCTCCGCCATCGGCCACACAGTCCCACACGCACACGGATCCAGGCTGTGCGGAGAGGCCGCACATGGGCAAATAGCTTTACGGCGGCCCGGCCCCGGCCGGCTGTGGGAGCCAGGCCGCCAGCCGGTCAGGAGGCCCGCTGCCGCCCGGGCCGCTCGTGTCGCACAACGTCGCTGTCTTCAGACAATCGAGCCGGCTCGCGCCGCTCCACCTACTGTTAGGGTCGATGTGTACCCCTGCCCCCGCGTGGCGCACGCTCGTGTCTCCAGTCCCGCCCAGCGGAAGACCTCGGATGGGCCTCGCTTCAGGCCGTCCACGGCTGTACGGTGTTTCACACAGATGAGACCCTAATTTCTGTACGAATATTGTCAATGTGCTGTGATTTGGAAATGTTTACCTGTGCTCTGTTTACAATCATTCCCTTCTTCATCAGGTAATCGCTGTTGTAGCGTGGCTCCTCCCTTGTATGTGTCAATAAAGACCAAACTGATGTTTGCGTGCTGTGATATCTTCATTATTCACCGGACTTGCCAGCGACCAGTCAAAGCCATTGAACAAAGGGCGTGTCAGATCAATAATCAAAACGGCAAGCGCCACTCAGCAGAGCTGATGTTCATCTCAACTGACAACTGACGCGGAATGACGGCTCAGTCCTTTAAACTGACAACTCATCGACGAAATCTCCAAGATACGAATAGGACTGGAGTCACCAGTCACTTATACGACGGATACAGCCCTCACTGCCAATACGCGTCGCCCACTGCCCTGTGGTACTGCCCGTCCGCCGGTCAGCGCGTTGGGACCGACACAGACCGAAACGCGCGCGTCGTCGGCCATGACACCGGAGGTTTCACGAAGCCTCGTCGCTAGCTACCTGCACAGGTGCTTCCCCAGCCGAGCTCGGGGAAGCCGCCTGGTCATTTTCCGGGCCGACCTGCCGCCGCCTCAGTTGAAGAGCTGCAGCTTGGTGACGATGATCACCCGCACGGTCTGGTCGAACGCGACGCAGGCACACAGCCCGCGCTTGTCAGGTGACCAGTCGAAGGCGCACACCGGCTGTGAAGACACGATGCCGTTCTGCAGCTGTGTGAGCGTGCCCATCACGCCAAAGTCGCCTCCGGCGTCCCGTTCGCGCCGCTTTCCCGGGTACGTGTAGTGCCAGAGGTTGAGCGAGCCGCTGCCGCCGGTCGTCATAAAAATGTCGCGGTTCTGCGGCAGGTGGCGCACGCGCCAGACGGTCGACTTGTGCGCGCGCTCCGTCAGGCAGGCCAGGCCGCGCTCTGGGTGCTGAGTGCGCGCGTCAAACACGTGCACGCCCGACTCGAGCGTCGTCGCCGCGATCTTGTTCATCTCGATGTCGCGTCTGTCGAACTGCACGCTGCACACGCCGTTCTTGACGTTTGTCTCCCATCGCACCTTCATGGCGCGCAGGTCGAACAGCTTGATGTCACCGTTGTCGTAGCCAGCACAGACGCAGCGTTCGGTGGCACTGTAGCTGTTGCCGAACGCCACAGTCCAGCAGTCTCTGCGTGGCTCGCCCTCGGCCGGCTCCATCACCGCCACCGGCGTCTCCTGGCGAACATCCCACACCTTGACGCTGCCATCGTTGCTGCCAGTAACCAGCTCCGGCGCGCCCTGCTGCCGACCGGCACCGCCCACGCCGTCCAGAGCGTTCACCATCTTCTGGTGCGCGCGCACAGAATACACTGGCTTGCTGAGGTGCTCCAGATCCCACGTCTGTAAAGACCCCTCATGGTCGCCGGTGGCAAGATGGCGGTCCGCCAGGCTGGAGCCGGCGAATGTACCACATTTCAGGCCTTGAGGCTTTTCTACACTTTTGATGGGTTCCAATGCCTCACTGCCCAGCTCAAAAATGTGGAGCGTGCCTCTCGCCCTAGTTGACGAGCCCAGTGTCACGAATTTGGCTGAGCTTGGTATCCAAACGACATCATACAGGGTATGATTCATTGATTTCTCCAGGTGCGTGATTATCTGAGGCTTGTCCATTATCAAAGGCTAAAATATTGATAAAGTGATCATAAAACGCAAGCTTGTGCGATTTCCCAAGAATGCAATGCCGTCAGATCGTCCAGATTCAAACGCCTGATCTGCCTCAACGCGGAAGCAGCGTAGCAGCGCACCTCGCCTGCAAACATGACCGTCTAGGTGAAGTAATGGACGCGTCCTTTCCCAAAACACAGCGGCAACAGCGTATACGTTTTACGTATAATCCAACAACACAGCACCTGCAGTACGTGTACATACCATGTTGGTAGGTTCTGTTCAAACACTTCTCTAAGTCCACACCTACCGTACACAGATGCCTGGCCTGTCTAGCGCCACCAGGCCACACACATTCGGTTTATGTTTGCTGTCGCGTTCTGGTACAATGCTGTTGCCATGACAACAGCCATGGCAGAGTATAAAATAGATTGCTGCCAACTTTCAGCGGTTTTGCAGATAAAAGGTTCTCCTCTACTCTCATTGTGTTTTCAAGTAAAGCAGTTTCAATAGCATCACAAAGCCTTCAGTCAAAATATGGTAATCTTCTTTATGTTTGGCATACAGTTATCGATTAATTCGGTTTAGTGTGATTATCTTCCTTCGAACTTTCTCCCGGAGCCTTTTTTGCAATGGAGCAAAATAATTTTATAGTAAGCGGCCCTCTATACCTTATTACATATCTGGCGAAAGGAAGGCAAACAACTACCACATCAGCAATACGCGTCGAACTTAGGAGTGAGGAGTCGGTGCCGGGGCTGCTGGGGGTGAGGCGTGTGGCGGAAACAGTTTTATCTTGCTGGAGATTGTGGAAGAGGCCTAATTTGATTTCAGATATTTCTGGGATAAATTTTCACTCCCTTGCAATGTGAAAGATAGCGTTCATGAGGCACAATTTCTGATGCCAGGATGGATAATTCAATTTTCTTTCGTGTTTGCAAAAGCACAAAACGTTGGAAAATGACTGGGGAAAATTGTCGGTTTTCAGCTAAGGTCACACTGTCTCACTCCCATGACACAGTGTGATTAATGAACAATTAAATGCATTTCACTTTGGGTGGCCCTCTGAATTCAGGATGAAAATAGAGGCTATGTACAGACTTGGATCTCAAAAAGTTGTCTCAGTGGAATGGAGTGCAATTTTTCCATTTCTCAAGCCAGTCCTAAAATGCAAATTGGATAAGTTATATTTTCACCAGCAAATGACAATTTTCCCCCCTTGCCTGACTCATCAAAGATTTCTGGGTCAACTTTTAGCACCCCAGATATATGAGGATTCTGAGTGACTGCCATGGTCATTAGGAGGATGGAAAAATAATATACGAATATCACCTTACCTAATTTCAGCTTTGTTATTTTGACCCAGACCATGCAGTATCTTTTCTCCCTGGATTTGTGCCAAGCAGATATTGAACCAAGCTTTTTAAGAGAGATCCAGTGGGTGTTCAATTAATTGTAGCTGGATGTATGCTAATGGCAGTACTAATAAAAATATGTGTATGTCTCACTTAAGCTCACTGAAGAAGTGATGGATCATCACCACCATCAAGGAGTGAAGGGATATGAGATCAAGGATCTCCTGAACAGTGTAAGTATTTCAGGTGTGCTGTTTGCTGGTGCTGTATCATCACAGAGTTCTTAGTTGCCAAACATGATGCTACAGGACTTTGTCTGGGGATCTAGGCAGTATTGGATAATGTATTCTTGAGGAATAGATGCAGTAAACATGAAACATAGAAACCCGTAAGGAACAGGAATACCTCCACGTTCGGCATGCACAAATAGTCCTTGGTATGTGAGTAGAAAGCTTATGATATATTTTTTAAGCAAAAAGAGGTCCAAAAAAATAAATTTTGCACACAAAAACAAAAATGGATAGGAGAAGGTGACTTCAGCTTATTTGTCCATCAAAGATGCAAAGAAATAAAATCCTGAGCATAGTTGTTTACATTGATTGGAGTATATGACACCACTATATGTTAAATGCATCAATGTCCAAAATGCTTTCTGGATATATAGATTTTGCTGCTATTGTTGATCATGGCATGAGCAATAAGCAAGGTTTCTGCTGGTACATCAGTAACTTCAAGCAATTTTTGTGATCAACTGACATGTGTTCTGGGATTTTCAGAGTCTGGACCTGACCCAGTTTACAGAGGAGGAAAAATGGAGGTACTGAATGTGTATTCAAGGCTATTTATGTTACATTGTATTATGTGTGCCTGGGTTCTGCATCACTTTGCTGCAGTGGCTTTGATAGTGCTATATGGTCACTATGATTCATTATAAATGAAGGAAAGCATTGATCCTCAAGGCTGGTGCCACCACAAAATTGTGTCCTGTTATTACAAACAAGGCTGCAGACCAAGCAAGTCCCAACATCAACTAATCAGGAATTTGGTAGCTTTATTGACCTGTCATGACCCAGTGATTGAAATTTGGTGAACCTTCAGTCAGTGTCCTGTGCAGACCATGGATCCTCCCATTTTAGGCATATTTTTTAAGACTTGGGCAATGACAACAGTTAAACGTGAAGCCGGCACAGGCGAACATACCACCTACAAATCATTGTGCGATCTGAACGCTGACCACCCCGTTGGTGTGGTGCCACCGACCTGGAAAGCTACCAATTTTTCCTTTTCTGAAATCAGTCTCAAATAAGGCACACTTTGACCTAAACCAATACAAATTGGGCTGTGAACATAGCCCACCTTGTGAGCAACATCCACCCAAAATATTTGTGTTTTCCCAATGCTTGTGTCACAGCCACCAAAGACTAAATTATTCCAGATTCCTGGATCTCGTCAGCTGAAATTGTGAGGACCAATGGCAGCCAAAATGTATTGATCATGCATCCAGCATTGTCATTTATGAATTTGTGCGCGCCTTCTAAAGATGAGTGGACCTCTGCAAGTCTAAGTCATCAAAATGATGTTCAGGTGCATTGATATGGCCTACTCCCAGGGATTTAAACAACGTCACTCCTCATTCGAGATGTACTAGCATCGTCGAGATGGAAATAGCGCCCGCGCCTGTTATCACCTCGCTCGTTCCACGCCACAGCAGGCGTCCTGCTGGCATCATGGCAGGCTATGTCTGCATCTAGTTGTTTGCTGAGGCAGCGTACCCTGTCTGCAGGATAGAGCACATCCGGATGCACGAGAAGCACAAGGGCCATGAGCAGATGCACGCCGAGATGGTGTTGGTGCTGGTGACGGCGCTGCTGCTCGGCCAGGTGGTGCTCGTCTTCTGGAGGAGCAAGCACCCCCGCTCGTATCAGGTCTGTCAGCCAGGTGGTGCTCGTCTTCTGGAGGAGCAAGCACCCCCGCTCGTATCAGGTCTGTCAGCCAGGTGGTGCTCGTCTTCTGGAGGAGCAAGCACCCCCGCTCGTATCAGGTCTGTCAGCCAGGTGGTGCTCGTCTTCTGGAGGAGTAGACCCTTTCGCTCGTATCAGGTCTGTGTCAGCCAGGTGGTGCTCGTCTTCTGGAGGAGTAGACACTTTCGCTCGCATCACGTCTATGTCAGCCAGTGACGGTACCCACGCGGGCGGGACGGCGATGCCGGGAGGGAAGAGTTGCCAGTGCTGGACACCCGGCGACATCGTCAAGAGCCTGTGACCCTATTGCGTGGTTCGCTTACATACTGTCAGTGCTCGAATGTTAAAGTTCCGTTGTCCGCTTGTGAGCTCTGAAATAACCATTGTGGACCGATCTATCACTAACGTACTTTTGCTAAAAAATCTTAGTCCCTCAAATCGTAGCAGTGTCAAGCTCGGCAAGGCATTAAAAAATTGACGAATGACTGTGTTTTCTGGAGACCATCACAGCCTGCTTGTTTGACATCTCCCACGTACACCAGTGTCGTGACATTGCCGACGAGGCAGCTGCAGAGCTCCGTTTGGACTCGTTCACCGAAAGCTCCATAAGAGTGTGCCGACCGGCCCTCCTGCCGTGTGAGTAGGCTACTGATCGGCCCGTGGGCGATGCCGTCCGTCGGCGATGGCTGCTGCGGGCCGGGAATGATCGACACGCGGGTGGTGCCATTCATGGCTGCTGTTTCAGATCGTGACCCTGATCGGCATGTGGGTGATCCCGTTCGTGCTCTGCATCCGCAACCACTGGTGGCGCTTCATCTTCTTCTGGCTGCTTTACTCGTGCATCACGCTCATGATCGGACACAAAGCCATGAAAAAGCCGCTGGAGGGCACCACGCCTAGGTGCGACGTCACTGTCACCATCTGGGTGTTAGAAGGGTGTTAGATCTGAGTGTTAGATCTGGACAAACCGCCGCGTATCATGCATTGACATTTGTTCGTCAAGTTGGAAGACCTGCTCGTCTTCCCAGCGTGGCTGGGCATGTGTGTTGTGAAATGGCTGCGGCCAAACAACTGTGATGTCGGACTATTTTAGTTTGTGCAGACATACTCTCGGCAAATATTCGCACGACATGCATTGATATTGGAGTGACGTTTTTTTTTTGTGTTGAAGTTGTGGAGTTTGGAACGCATGAGACTAAATCAAACATCTTCGCTGCCTCCAGGCTTGTCTACAAGTGGTTCCTGCTCTTGTACAAGATCAGCTATGGGCTAGGAATAATCGGCTACACCATCATGATGGCCACCTTCATGGGCTTTAACCTGATGTTCAGCGTGAAGCCGCACGTCTGGATGGACGTGGGCATCATGTTTCTCTTCTACGGCCTCTACTACGGCGTACTGGGCCGAGACTGCGCCGAGATTTGCGCTGACAAAATGGCCGCCCACATCGGAGTAAGCAGACGTGTGCAATGGCTGCCCTCATGTGTGCGGGGCGATAAAATGGTCCGCGCATCGGGGTGTATTCTAGCCGGCGTTTGATGGAATATTGCTGTCATCACGGAACGAAGTATGAAGTGTCAACTGTTTTGGGCATATTGATCTCAACTATTGTGGATGTTGTTTCATTGACTGTGAGGACGTCAGCAATTTAAGAGCTGAGCAGTATGCTGTTTGGTGTCCAGAACTGCTGATAAAGCAGTAATGCGCGGAACCGTTGTGCAACTGGCTGCAGCGGGCGCGGCGTCCGAAGTACAGATTATCTGTCCCTTCCAGCACACGGGTGACGCAACAGGGGGGGGGGGGGGGGGGGGGAGGAGGGTAGGGGAAGCAGTCGCCTCTCCCTCTCTCCTTCCTGTCGGCAGGCGGGAGCAAGAGTATGTTCTTGCTCCTTCAAAATTTTTGCGAGATTTCTATTGTCCCGAACTAAAGGGCGATGTAGATACCCGTAGATAACAAAAAATAAATTAAGTCAAGAATACCCCGTAACTATGCTATACAGAAATAAATCGGGTTCACAAGACCCTTTTCTATATCAAGAAGTCCGCTTTCTGGACCATGGGTTACCACTATGAGTAAGGTAGCCCCTTGCTCTGAATCAGTAGGCCCGATGTTATGTTGAGGAGGCCTCTGCTGGATCGGGAGGCTCCCATTATCAACTAGGAGGCCTCTGTTCTGAGTAAGGAGGCCCTGTACTGGGTTAGAAGGCACCTCGTATATTCAGGAGGCCCCTCTTCTGAAAAGGAGGCCCCTTTCAGGCGTCAGATGTCGGCGGTTCCGGATCAGGATGCCCTGTTTCGGGATAACGAGGACCCTTCGCTAGATTTGGAGGCCCACTTCATGAATGAAAAGCGTCCTGGTCTGCATAGGAGATCTCTCTTTGCATCAGGAAACCCTTTCTAGGAACACGCGGCCTTACTTTAGAAAAGCTGGACCCTTTACCGGATAATCAGAGGGCCCCATTCTGAATTTTTTTATAGTGGATATTTACTTGCATATAATACACGTAGCAATTTTATAAGAGGGTAAATGCCCTCGGTGCCCTTCCCCCTTGGATATGACATTGCCGGGAACCTGCCCCCTTCCCCCTGTGTGTAGGCCCCATTTTGTTCAAGAGGCCATCTTGAAAATCCTGCTCACCCCCAAACCCAACCCGTGGCGCCGCCCCTGCCAGCAGATGACGCGTAATGCGATATCCACAAAGGGCGCCCGCGTGCAATGCTGGCGGCTGAAGCGATGTGTCATCACCCTGTATATGACCTGCACACTGTTTTTGCAGTATGTTTTGTGGCTGTTCCGTCGTTTTACTGGTGACCATCGAAATAGGGCAGGCACAACGTGGCATGCCGGTGTGGAGTGTGTATGTGGAGCGGCTCGCACTACCTGGCTGTTCCGCATGTGACCTGTCTGTACTCGGCGTGGTGTCTGGGCCTGTCTGTCGCCGTCTGTTCCCGCCCTGTCATTGGTTAGGCCGCTGTCCCGCTGGTACAGCAGTCAGCACTCACGTCTTGCCTCACATCAAGCGACGAACGCAGACAACCGCCACATGGGTTCGATTCCCATCCTAGGCGCAAGATTTCCTTGAGGCGGAGGAGACAAACTTTGGGACATAAAGGGTTGGGATGGTCTTGCATAACAAGCTAAAGATCTCTCGGGCTATTTGGTGGAAAGGCTGGCCCAAACTGTGATGTGGTGTGACGTTTGGACCAATTGGGCGCAGTGTTCGCGCGATGAATTAACTAGAACTCTGACTCGGACTCGACGGAAGCCGGTAATTCACGCGGTAGTTCTCACAGAAGCGGACACAGGCCGTGGAAGCACCAAGTCTCATTTGCAGTGCGTGCGGCCGTGTGCGCGCACCACGTTTGAGCCGCGTTTGCGGCTGGTGCGCGTCCTTCGGCGGCTGTCCTCCGGTGGCTGTCCTCCAGTGGCTGCCCTCCGGCGGCTATCCTCCGGCGGCTGCCCTCCAGCGGCTGCCCTCCGTCGGCTGCCCTCCGGCGGCTGTCCTCCGGCGGCTATCCTCCAGCGGCTGTCCTTCAGCGGCTGTCCTCCGGTGGCTGTCCTCCGGGCTGGCTGTCCTCCAGCGGCTGTCCTCCGGCGGCTATCCTCCAGCGGCTGTCCTTCAGCGGCTGTCCTGCGGGGGCTGTCCTCCGGTGGCTGTTATCCAGCGGCTGCCCTCCGGCGGCTGTCCTCCGGTGGCTGTCCTCCGGTGGCTGTTATCCAGCGGCTGCCCTCCGGCGGCTGTCCTCCAGCGGCAGTACTGCTGTGCGCCGAGCCCGAGCCGACGCCGTCCTCCGTTTTCCGTCCACAGTACTACCGTCCGGACGGCATGCCGACCCGCAGCCTGGACCCGGACGTGTGCGCCGTCTGCGGCAACAAGCTGATGGTGCTGGACAACGACCAGGCCGTGCTGGAGAAGACCTACCGGCTGACCTGCCAGCACGTGTAAGCGCCGGAGGCCGGCGGCGGCAGCGGGCCCAGGCCGCGGGCAGGCTGGGGCTGAGGAGTGAGGGTAGTGCAGGCCTGGAGAGTAATGGTGGTGCGGGGCTGGGGAGTGGGGATGGCGCGGAGCTGAGGAGTTAGGGTGGCGATGGACTGGGAAGTGAGAGTGGCGATGGGCTGTGGAGTGAGAGTGGTGCGGGACTGTGGAGGGAGAGTGGCGATGGGCTGGGGAGTGTGAGTGGCGATGGGCTGGGGAGGGAGAGTGGCGATGGGCTGGGGAGGGAGAGTGGCGATGGGCTGGAGAGTGTGAGTAGCGATGGGCTGGGAAGTGAATGTGGCCGGGAGGGAAGGAAGTGAGCCAAAGTGCCCGGGGCAGGGCGAGGCGGGGGAGGGCTGCGCGTTGGCGGCCGGTGTGCGGGACCGGGGCGGGCTCAGGGATCAAGTGGGATGAGGCGGGGCGGTACGGGCTTGCCGGTGGAGGGCGCCGACTTTGTGATGTGGTGGTGGGGCCCCGCTAGCATGCCGGAGTGGATCACGGCTCAATATCGAGGTTACTGGGTCGCGTAAATGATGGGCGAAGCGGGAGAGTGCACAGGGTGGAACATTGACTGGCTGCATCGCAGTGTGCTTCGTGTGACATCTGGGAACCAGGTGATCTATGTAATATTGTGATCAGAGACCTGTCCCAGATGCTCTCATCACTTTCTCAGCAAATGATTATATACAGCACAGGTCGCTGCCATTGCGCTTTGTGCGTTATGTGATGACGCGGATAAACGCTTTTCACGTTAGCCTCATAGATGAGGCTAACATTATGGAGGTCAGTGGCAGCGCGCTGCGCTGTTGCTCGGTGCTGTGCGTTCGGATTCCACCGCGCCAGGCGGCGCGCGGCGTCCGACCGTTCTCACGCCCCGCTCGCGGCCGGCCAGGTTCCACGAGTTCTGCATACGCGGCTGGTGCATCGTCGGCAAGAAGCAGATATGCCCCTACTGCAAGGAGAAGGTGGACCTGAAGCGGATGCTGCACAACCCGTGGGAGAAGCCGCACGTGCTGTACGGCCAGCTGCTGGACTGGATCCGCTGGCTGGTGGCTTGGCAGCCGGTCATCATCATGGCCGTACAGGGCGTCAACTACCTGCTGGGGCTGGAGTGAGAGGCGGCCGGCCGGTCGGCACGCGGCGCCGGGCCGGGCCAGGAGCGGCCGGCCGCAGAGTTAACAGGCGGGTCGCGGGGGAGGCCGGCGACCCGGTGAGTGTGCGGCGGCTGTGGAAGCGATCAGGGCGGCGTCGGCGTGGAGAGGACCCCTCGCGACGCGGGAAAGTGGTTGCGGGCTTCCTGGGCGAGGCGGGGCAGCCAGCTGTCGGGTCTGAGCCGCGTCACGTCATAGGGCTGGCGTCCCCCGGCCCCCCCCCCCCCCCTTCCCCTCCCTGACGCATCGCTGGTGGAGCGACTCCGCGGGTGACGAGGTGGTGTTGGGAGCGGAGCTGGATATCGGTCATGCTGCCTGGGAGGCTTCATCCGGGGAAAGGAGAGTTTTCAGAGGAGGGAGGGGAAGACAAGGCCGGATAGTGTCTTCGCTCGACCAACGGAGCCGGCTCGGCGTACTCCGAACTGGCCGGCTTCTCCAGACGCAGGGAGCTTCGTACGTCGCTATGTCTATTTATAGGCGCTTACCAAGCATGAGCCGGTAGGCTAGGGTAATTTAATTAGCATGATTTTGCAGCGTGCTGAGGCGCGTGCTCTCGGTGCATACGCCTCCCTGATGGACATGAGCGGGTGCTGAGGCGCGTGCTCTCGGTGCGTACGCCTCCCTGATGGACATGAGCGGGTGCTGAGGCGCGTGCTCTCGGTGCGTACGCCTCCCTGATGGACATCAGCGGGTGCTGAGGCGCGTGCTCTCGGTGCGTACGCCTCCCTGATGGACATCAGCGGGTGCTGAGGCGCGTGCTCTCGGTGCGTACGCCTCCCTGATGGACATAAGCGGGTATGCACCTGGCCCGCTGCAAGCACCAGCGCAGCACGAGCTGTGCTCAGGAGTGCAGTCATTGGGTCCGGTCACGACCTTGTCGTCAGACCCCTAGAATCGCCAAATCGCGTCGGCGGACTTCTCGAATCGCGGAATCCCGACGTTTGGGTTCGAATCCAGGCCGCGCCGAACCCGTCGACACAGCATCGGATGCCACGGGTGCAGGCTGGATTCGCTGGTGCTCGTGCATAGAGCGTCTGCTGCCGTGCCCTGACCGTGCCTGAAAAGCCGGTCGGCGTCCGGGCCGGCGTGAACGATTATTAGGACTTGGTTCAATGCGTCACAAAACCGCATTTCTTGCGATCGTAGGCGTGCTACACTATTATTGACTTAATAGGAAACTAAAATGTTTGTAACGTTTGCTTTTCTCGCTGCAAACGTAATGCTCGAGATGCGTGCTGACGCCGAACGAAAATTTCAATGTAATTGCATTGATTTTGGGAAATACAAATGCTGCCTTCACGACAAATAGCATTTTATTTGTGAGCGGGTGCGCGCACCTCTGTGATTCGCGGGCCGCTCACCATGCAAACGTCCGTTTCATGTGGTATCTGCTCGTTCGTAATAGTCTTTTTGTACCAGCTGAGTTTGGGCGGTGCCTCGCCCGCTGGGCGACTGCATTCATGATATATGTGTTGGAGCTAAGCTAGTGTGTAGCACGTTGTCAGTGTTAGTGCGTCACCGCGGATTTCCGTGCAATTTTCTTCGGCTGCTGATTCTGTAATACACGGGATGAGGACAGCGACGGGACTGGTGGCCGATCTCAGAACACGGGCGGCGCCTGCAGCGCCAGCGGCAGCATCTCGCCGATGTTGACCTTGTGGATGCGCAGGGGCGGGCCGAGCGAGAGGTGGCGGGTGCGTGGCGGCAGGCGCGGCAGACTGCAGCGCGCCGCGTCGCCCTGCGACGCCTCGTCGTCCTGCGCGGCCGGCTTGGGTGGCTGGCTGACCTGGCGGCGGCGCTGGCGGCCGGCCGTCGGCCACTCTGGCGCCGGCCGCTCCTCGGGTGCGTATCGCCACAGCTGGCGGCCGCGCGACGCCAGCAGCTGGCGCACGTGCGGCCGCAGGCCGGCCGAGCGGAGTCCGCCGGCCGGCCGGCGCGCCGCCTGCGCCCACCACAGCTGCGCGCCCAGCCGCGTCCGCTCCAGGTCCTCCAGGTCGCGCATGGTCGCTGTGTCGGCGTCCCGCTCGCGGCGCGCCGCGCCCCAGGCGCCCTCCATCTGCTCTTGGATGGCGCGAATAGCTTCGCGGGACGTCTTGTCAGCCGCCTGGGTCAGTCGGCCGACGGCGTCGCGCTCATGCTGACGGGCCCGCTCTAGCTCCGGAGCGCCGCGCTGCCCGGTCGCGCTGCCCGCGATTGGCGAGAGCACGTGCCCGTCATGGCGGGCGGCCGGCGTCGCCTGCAGCTGCACCACGGTCGGCACCCAGCGGCCGCGGCCGGGCTCGCCGCCCAGGCTGGTGGCGCTGCCGCGGCTGGGCGCCGCGCTCTCTGCCGTGCTGCCAGACAGCGCCGGCAGCCAGGAGCGCGGCGCCGCCGGTTGGCGGAACGCCGGGCGCTCGCCGACGGTCCCGCGCCGCGCCGCCTCCCGCCGCCGGCTGCGATGGCGCCCGCGCGCGCCGACGCCGCGCGCACTCGGTGCACGTGCAGTCTTGCAGGTGCGGTACATGCACGTGGAGCGGTACGGTGGTGGCGGCGGCGGCGGCTGCCGGTGGCGGCTCCTTCTTGCCGACTACGATCAGCCGGTCGGAGCGCACGGCAGCCCTGGGCCGACGCAGCTTGCGGCGGCTGGGCCGGCTCTCGGCTGGCTCGGTGGCCGGCGCCGGACCCCCCACCTTATCTAGCATGCCCATGCCGAACGCGTCGTCAATGACGGACCGGTGCTCCCGCTGGATGAAGTCCATCTGCGGCACGGACAGGGAGGACGGCACTGAAGCGGCGATGCTCCTTCCCAGTCAGTCCGCTAACTGCACGAGGAGCCAGCTTTTGTTTGATACTTTGGACCGGTTTTTGAACTGCTCAACGATATTTCTTTATCAGAGGCGTCGTTTCGCACTGACTGCGGAACGCCGCTCGCTAGGCAGGTTTGTCGCTAGCGGGGACTCACGTTTTTCACTATCACGGAGATGAAGACTCCCGACGACGTCGAGGTCTGTGGCAGTACGAGAAATGGAATGCCAATGTCTTCGTTGTTTTCGTCCGGTATGGTCACGAGCTGACGGAACTCGAACAGCTTGTCCGGTGGGGTCTGCCAATACAACGAGGACAGTTTGATTTGTGGACTCGCAGCCTGTTGGTGTCGACTCCTATTTAGAAAATGACACAGTTTCACTCGCGCAGGCCAGTGTAAGGGAGTCCAGACAGTTTTATTTACTAAGCCGCTGCCATGATTTCACGAACAGGGCTCAAAACTATATCATGTCCCGTATCGGCAGGAAATTATGCATGACATCTGTCCTGATCCATTCATCTGGAAGTTGTTGCGTCTTCACAAGCAATGATGGTTGTTCAACCTTTTATTGCAGCTATCGTCGGACCATTTCGGTTGTTTAGACAATGCCTCCTTAGAAGCTTCGAGCTTATGCGACGTGCTCGACGTTGGTGACTACAACGCGCGGTGTGAATCAAAGGAATAACCAGCCTAGTTTATGTCGGTCCCGATACTAAACACACTGTATCTTGTGCCAGTACATGGTGCTTTACCACACCTTACGCATTGCCTTACCCACACCCTGCACCCAGCCGTCCTTACCTCACCTTGTCCCACACCATGCTGAACCGTGTATCCTGCTGTGCTCTGCACTCTGCTCTACTTTACCGTGCCTCACGTACCTTGCCATCTCCATGCCCTGTCTTACCGCCCTGACATATCCCGCACTGCGCCCTGGATTCTGCCGTGACCCGTACCTTGTCGTGCCCTGTACCTCGTCGAGTACGGTGCCCTGTTGCCTCCTGAACCACACTGTCGTGTACCCCGGTATGCTCTGTTTGGTTGTTTGGTTGTTAGAAGTGGTGTCCTTTCGACCAGAAATGATCATTTCAGGGCCACGGGTTAAAGGAAAATGGTTAACGTCGGAGCAGGCTTGTCTGCGCCTGGGGAGCCAGCCACCGAGCTTTAACCCGCGCATGTGTGCTGGGACCCGGTCGGGGTCCCCCTTCCCACGGGGGCTCTCGGCCCACTTGTGGCTGGCGCATGCAGCCTGTCCCGGACAATGGGGATGTTACGAGGATGCAAGATGGACCAAGATAGAGGATAAGACGGTCGAATGCCATGCCCCGTGCCCTGCCGTATCCTGTGCGCAGCCGGTCTGTGATGAAGCTCCGCCACACTGATCTGTTATGTCTGTGGCCGGCCGCGCGCGCCTCCCTCGTGGCACCTCGGTCTCCAGCTTGCTGTGGTCCCGCGCGGCCTGCCACCGCCGCCGCTGCTGCTCGTTGACCTCGTCCACCACACCGAACACCACTTCCTCGTTCTCGGCCCGGTTAGCCGAGTGGGTGGCATACACGACAACCCTGACATCTGGCGGCATGGCCGGGAACGACGGTCAATCGGGCGCCGACCCGCAGGGTGACACCTGGCGGCAAGCTCGTATGCTATGAGTTGGAGACAAACGTCGTGGGATGGGAAATTGGTGTGATTGTTGCATGGCCATTCTAATGACGAATTCCACGAGTTCAGTTTAACAAGAGGCCATGATAAGAATGCCGGTGACATTCTTTTATCGACAGCAGCGTGTTGTTAGGTTACACGTCCACACGCTGCAGCGCCATGCAGCATGAGACTGCTCCAGCGGGCCCGGCTGCGCGCAACACTCGCATGACCGTTTGTTGGCTGCAGCCCTGAAGAGAATCACGCAAGGAGGCGTGCTGCTACAGCATAAAACCACGCTGAGTGACACAATCACAAACGGAGTTGGCGCAGATGAACGCCTAACATGACGTCACAGATCGAATGTCGCTATCTTGACAGATCGATGTTCATCGGCTCAGCTGCACCCGCACCCGTACCGCGCCTCGGCAGGCCGGCGCTGCAGACCTGCTGTCGGTATGCAGACACATCTGTCACGTCAGCCAGTGTGAGGTAGCAGTGACAAGTGTGTGAGAGAACGCCTAAGCGGCAGAACATAGATGCTGGACAAGACATTGATATTCACATCGGCGTTTTGTGCTGTCGACATGATGATTTAAGCGGCGTCTGCCTGTGTGATGGACTATTGATAGCCATAATTTCTCGAGGACTTAACTTCATGCAGTCAGCAAAGTACCTTTGACGTGGCGGTGTTGTGATGCTAAAAGACAGGTGAACGTAATCCATGGAACTGCTATCAATGCGTGATTCAGTATAGCGAATAAAATATTTGATTTAACTTCATGGCTGGCGTGTGATAATGTCACAAGCACTTGATGCGTATCATTTCGTTTCGTTAGGTAAAAACCAGGTTTATGAGGTATGGATCTCCTGAAGAGTCTTGTCTGAAATCTCAGCAAAGAAACGCCTCACGAAATTAAGGCGTACCGGTTGATGAATGCATTTACCGGCTCATTAAACCGCATGCAGCATGGTTTACGGACCAGAACTGGCTCGATACACTATCAACCAGTAAGTATCGTGGCCCATCGATGTTGACAGCGGCGGAGAGGCGGGCTCTCAACAGGCTGGCGGATAAGGGGTCAATACCCGCTGCTGCACGAGCCAATGCATTCCTATCTCTTCGCCCGCCACGTGCCCCGGGAGGAGCGAGCTGACCGCGCTGGTACGCCAGTGCAGCGGCCGTTTACGAGTCCATCGGCCGATACGGCTGACACTGCTGATCCGGCCGGCGCCACACGGCCTCCCCCCCGTTACCATTTGCCTGCCCGCTGGGGACGTTTAACGATGCTCCACTCTGTGTGGACCGTCGGTAGCGAGGTCACCGACATTTGTAAACATTACCGCGATTTACAGAAGCTCGCGGGGCACTCCCTCTTTGCGACGTCACGTTCGGGCGCTAGAGCTGCCCAGGTTGTTTGTTGGCAGTTTATCCACAAGTCGGTCAAGTCTGATTATTTAGCGGCCGGTCCATGCAGTCAGTTGCAAACAAATCCGTATCCGTTGATAGACTGGCGGGAGGGCCATTCCATGCCAATGCAATCCGATTACGTTAGGTACCAAACATCTCAAGTCGTGTTTAGCGATCAAGCTGAATCACGCCCCCGCCCGGCTCCTTTTATTCTACTCGCAAGGCCGCCACCGTTGTTAGTGAGAGAGTGTCCTAAAATCCCGGCACAGACGGATGGCAGAGCCAATGACATCACAGAGATTTCGGGACCAGCCGTCACGGTTATAGGGGACGACAATAAAAAAGGCAAGCTCACTCTTTGCCTCGCAGAGCTTTACTCACTGCTCTACTCAGTAAAGGTAAGTGAGCAAACATCAACGTACGCGGCGCTACGCAGAAAATGTACACGAAAACGCACTTGGTCGCGACTTAATACGTGCCGGGGATCACCCGTCTCCGAAGCATCGCACACGATGCGTCGAGTCCATGGTGAAGAAGTAGTGACAATTTTTTTCGGGCGAGGAAGCAAACAGCATGTCTGTCCGGCTGGTGCGGTTCAAGATTGGTGTCGGGCCCAGTGGTAGGAGTCAACGAGGCGGTCTGTGAGTTGGACGCCCACTGGTCGCCCTCGCACATGGGTCAGGAACCCCAATGGATGTGCGGTCACGCACCCGTCCATCCGCTACAGCCTCCGGACGTTCGCTCTCGTCGTCCCTGCTCCCTGTCAACCGACTCCGTCGCTGCTGCCGTTCCGCTGCAACCTTCATCTCGTCCTGAACGCTGCGCCACAAAACAGCTGAATCCTCTGACTCCAAACCACCGCCATCACCGGCTGTCGACTGGTGCCCGGTCCTGAACCGGTCCGGTCCTGCCTCCCGGTCCTGGCCGGTCCGTCTCCCTCCGAGCTCTGACCCCTAACCACCGCCATCACCGGCTGTCGACTGGCGCCCGGTCCTGAACGCCCCGCCTCCCGGTCCTGGCCGGTCCGTCTCCCTCCGAGCTCTGACCCCAAACCACCGCCATCACCGGCTGCCGACTGGCGCCCGGTCCTGAACCGGTCCGGTCCTGCCTCCCTGTCCTGGCCGGTCCGTCTCCCTCCGAGCTCCGGCCTGTCTCTGGCCGGTCTCCCAGCTCCGCCGGCTCCCGGCCCTGCCGCGCATCTGCCTCCCGGGTCGTAAATCGCGTTGTGACTGTCGCTCCGTGATGAGGAGGCGCCCGGCGGTGGGGGGGGGGGGGGGGGGGGGAAGCGAGCCATTTCCCCGGGGCAATCGGGCGGTCCCGTCGAACGATCGCCGCGCGCCGTAAGCCACCGCTCTTACCCGGTCCCGGATGTGAGCGGCGGCACTAGATCACACGGACGTGGCCGCGGGGACGCGAACGGAGGGCGGCGCCGGCGCGCACGACTCCAGGCTGCGGCACGCTCGAGAAAGAGGGACACGCTGTTTATGTCAGGCAAGGTTAGAGGAGAGTCGCTTCACGATCTCCCAACTTTCGGGAGGGGGAGGGCGCGAATCAGGCGCGTGATTTGACAAAATGAGTTGGTGGGGGAACAGTGAACAATGCCCCAATCTAACCCTTGAATATGCCAACACACAGGTTTCTCTCCAGATTTGGCCAACTGTCTTACAAAGCTGGGGGAGCTGGAGTCCAAGTTGGGGGGGGGGGGGGCGCTGAAGGCCCTCTCCGCAATTAATAAGAAGCTACACCTCCTGGAACGGATGTGCAATAAATCCTGCCCAGTTCGTACTGCGGCACCTCTGTTGTTGTCTACATGCACAAGTCTACTGTAAATCCCTGCCAGTCATCGTGTGGCTGTTGAAGGAACCACTCTATGAAGCGATGACCACCTAACAGCGTCTGCTTGCTGTAACCTGCAGCCGTTTCTGGCTGATACGGCTAATCGGGCTGGATAGCTCATCCCCTGGCTCACAGGAACTTCCCCAGCAAGCTGGAGGTGGAAGGGCAGACACGAGCGTTGATCCATTTCACTGCTCAGCGCTGCAGTGCTCATGCCCTGTTTTCCAAAGCTGCAGGGGCAGCTCCCCCGCCCGGCCCCAAACAGCGCCGGCTGTGGCGCCGGTTTGCGGCGAGGGCGGCACGGCGGCGGCGCTCACTGGGCAGCCGGAGAGCCCGCAGCAGGGTCTCGTTCTGATCAGTGACGAGCGCGGCGACCCGCTGCGGCAGCGCCGACCGGCTTGGCTCCATGGAGAGCTCTCGCAGCAGCGATATGTCTGGCGGCCGACGAATGGCTTGTCATGCCGCGACAGTGCACCGCCAAATGCGGCCGGCCCGCTAATGCGGCTGGTTCGGCGGCCAGACAGCCGATATGGCACAGGGACGCTATCCGCTGGTAGGCGCGCTAGTGAGAAGTGACACACGCTCAGCTAAGCAGGAGTTAACTCATTAACACGAACAAAGTTATTCGGTCTGAGCCCAACGCATCCGTTTGAACTGCTTAGGCAGCGCCACTGTTTTCTTCATTGTTTGGTACGGAGGCTCAGACAACAAAATGATCGTGGGCATGGTGAGCGATGGGATGCACATATAACTGAATTGCCTATAACGAAGCTTTACATCATAGTGAGTCTTTGCAGCAGGCATATGGATTAAACATTCTCTGAAACCTTCACCGGACGATCATTTTGCACTCATGATGATAAATCAAATGAGGTCGAAAAGGAGATGTCTTACAGCAGGCAGCAGCGTGCAGGAGAATGCATCGTGCAGAACAAAACAATTTAAATCATAACACATTTACCTGTCCATATACGCCAGATTCTTCCCCACTTGGCATAGGAAGTGAAATCAAACCGCCGACAATACATTAAATGGTCCTATAAATACAATCCCCCCGCATAATTGTGCCACAACCCTGGATTAAATTGATAAAATCACGCCAGGGGACATGCGACCGGCGGCGGCGCCGCGTTTGACCGGCGCAGCGCGGCGTGTGCCGGCCGGCGCCGGCAGTCGCTCACCTCCGCCCTCCTCTATGACCCATTCGACGGGGTCAGCCAGCGCTGTATGGGTGGTCTCGGGCGTGACGAGCACAGCCACCACGTCCCGCAGGTCGTGGCCGCGGCCAGGCGTGTCCAGACCGCCACTGAGCACGCGCGCGCCCGCCACGCCCAGGTCCTGCAGCTGCCGCTCCACCACGGCCCGTCTGCGGAGGGGGGGGGGGGGGAGCGCGCTCCGGTCAGAGCGGGATCACGGTCAGGTCAGGGTCGGTGTGGTCCGTCCCAGCCGGGGCAGGGGGCTCTCCGATCGGGGGACCGTCCCGCTTCACACACGGCGTGGTCGTCGCTCAGCTGACCGTGACAGGTCTCGAGTCGTCACGTCGACTGTTTGCTGGGCGCCGATCCGGCCGGGGCAGGGGGCTCTCCGATCGGGGGACCGTCCCGCTTCACACACGGCGTGGTTGCCGCTCAGCTGACCGTGACAGGTCTCGAGTCGTCACGTCGACTGTTTGCTGGGCGCCGATGACTCCTCGTTTGCCATCGCTTTGATTACAGCATGTAACGATCGGGTTTTGATCGGGATGGCCCACTCACGGCTACCGCCGTCCAATTCGAACCCCATTATCCCGCGATCGAACGTCGGTCGTGAGCAAGTACACGTGCTTGAAGACCGAGCGGCGGTCGTTTTCGGTGTGGGCTCCGACGTTCGCGAGGCGGCCGCGGACCATTTGGCGGCCAACGCCAGCATTAATGGAGGCCGCAGTCGGCGCCGCGGGGCTGGGGCCGGGGTCGCTGGCCGCGTGCCTAACCCGTCCCGCATACGATTTCCATTGGGGTCTGTCACAAGCGCTGCCTTTACCGCTGCTCTGTGCAGAATAGACATGGTCCGTAGTTTGTACATCAGAGGACCAGTAATTTGTCTCAAGAACTGAATGAACAAGAGCTGAACAGGAATGAATAACACATTCATGATGTGGGGTCGCCGATGTTTCTGTGAAAGTTATCTTTACTGATCTAGACCTAATCAAAGCTTGAACTGAGCAATAAAAGACCTTTCGATATGGATAGTTTACGATGAGAAAATTGGCCTAGAAGAGAAAGGCATCGAGTATCGGCATTACAGCTCATGTAGCAGCCAAAAAGGCTCAGCAGTGTCTGAAACGCATTACGTTGAAGTCCTTCAAAACGGCAAGACTTGTGAGAGGCGTATAACCTGCGGGCAGTCCATCTTAAAGAGAAATTACTTACAGTAATGTAGCTTTTGCTCGTTCTGTCTTTGAAGTAAATCAGACGTGGCAGAGAGCACGGCGACAAAACACATCCAAACAAACAATAGCTGTCATACACAGAACGGCAATGGTGTCAGCAAGCTCTCCAATGTACTTTTTCGTCGCGTTTACTGTCAACACCGTTGCTTTGATGCCTTGCACTTCGAAGAATAAGAGCTCCCAATACACATGTATGGCTTAAGTCATCTATGGGCGCCCAACACGGGAAAATTGGAAGATCTTGTCGGTTCTAAAGCAATAATGCGTTGAAAAACTTTCGCGATCCAATTTCCTCAGCGGAAAAGTATTTCATTTTTTGGAAGCCGTTCTGTTAAAACTTAGATGAAGATAGTGACAGTTCGGAGCACTTGGGGAACATCATGATTGGGTTGAGCTACACTCCTGATAAAGTCGAGCCCGGGGCATTGAGGATGACATAAAATGGGCTACTGAGAGGGTGCCTCGGCCCTACCCTTAAGTTTCTCGGTCCAGGCAGCTGAGCGAGGCGAACAATCAGGCACTTGAAATAGAGGTGGGGTCATTTTCGTGGATTTGGGCCGGCACATTCTACGCTGTTTCAGCTGCACCTCACAAAGACCAGGCTTTTATATCAGCGCAAAACGCCTTCTACGACGCCCAGTTCATTTTTTGCCTGAAGTGACCATAAACGCACAGCATCGTTGATCCACAGAGCAATCAGCGCTGCAGACACTGAAGGCGTGGGGCTCATCAGCAGTGGGACGATGGGGTGGGGCACGATCGCTTCTGCAGGCGACCTTGACGCCTGTGCGCGTCCGTGCCACGCTAGGCGAGCGCCCCTCCACGCCAGCCTCCGCCCCTGCCGGCAGGACGCCGGCGCCGGCCCCGCCGCGCCGACAATCCCGCAGAGTGGCGGCCAGCGCGGCGCACCGGCCAACTTGGGCGGCGAGTCTGACGCGCGGCTGATGGAGCCGCGGCTCTGACCTGTCGCCGGCCAGCGCCAGCAGGCGGGTGACGCCTACGCCGGCCGGCAGCCGGCTGGACACGTGCGCCAGCGAGCGGCCGCTGCCGGCGCCGGCGTGCAGCAGGCTCCCGCGCAGCTCGGGCTCGCGCTGCCACAGCCGGCGCAGCTCCTGCACCAACGCGTACGCCGGCAGGCAGCAGGCCTTCTCCTACACGAGGGGTGGAGGCAGGCGGGTCACGGTCTGGGGCTGAGCTACGTCATGGTCTGGGAGAGACATGCAGGGGAGCGTCGCCTGGGGAGAAGCGTCAGGCAGCGTGACGGTCTGCAGGCTGTAACCAGCAGATCCTCTCCTGCAGGGACAGACGTCAGGCGGTGTGACCGTCTGGGGATCACAGATCCTCTCCTGCAGGGACAGACGTCAGGCGGTGTGACCGTCTGGAAATCACAGACAGCAGCCATCATCCCCTGCCAGGGACCAGTCGCACGGCGTGAGCATTCGGGGCTACAGACAGATGAACCCTTTCCTGGGGAGAGGCGGCAGCCAGCACGCCTTCTCCCGCGAGAGGAAAAAGCGGGCAGGCAACACCGCTGCGTGGGACTACAGACAGCCCGCCTTCTCCTACAGCGAGAGGTGGCAGATGGTGTCATCGCCTGCAGGCCTTCAACGGCAGGGACAAGGGGCAGACAGCATTCGCCGAGGGCATTGTCAGATAGCGTCACTGGAGGAACGAACGCCGCAATCAAGACAAGCCCTCTCCGCTCGAGTGTCGCGTGGCATGACCGCTAGCGCTGCAAGGCGACACGCTCTACTATAGTCCCACTGTAAATGATGGGCACTTTCAACCCTCGGTAGCTGTCGACTACACAACGCCACATGCTCCCTTTGTTACTCAATGGCGCGCGCGCTCACACTATATATATATATATATATATATATATATATATATATATATATATACACAGATGTATACTTGATCTGATGCGTGGCTGCTACCAATGCAACATTGGAAGGCATCTGCCAGCAATTTACACACCGAAATATGTAGTAAAGGTCCCGATACAGATATACAAGGAACAAAATATCACTCGAAATAATGATCATGGTTTGGGAGAAATATGTGCGAAATATATCAAAGAACTTATTTGCGCCCAATGTTTGCAAAGGTGTTCACCTGCAGCACTATCCATCGGGTTTTGAAAGTGGACGTCTTCTCTATAGTTTCCTTCCAGCCGGGTTCGAAAATTAGCAGATCTGGGAAGTCTTTGTCGTGATGGAAGTCGGTCTTGGACAACCCCGGCTGCAGCACCTTCAAGGTTGACCACAGGCTGTCCAGTGCCTCCTGCGAGCTGGAAGATCGCGTGGAAAGAAGAGGTGGGTCAAATGTCCGTGGTGAGCGGGCGGCGCTATTTCCTACCATGTCCACGCACAATGACGGGCATTGGAGAGGGTGCCACACCTCTGGGCGGAGGGTCGGTGAAAGGGATGCAAGATTCGACGAGGTCGAGTAATCGGACCGTGAGCTGCCTTGCATGCCCCCCCCCCGCAGCCTTGGAGCACATCTACCCAGAATACACCGGGACGTTTAACAGCCATACACGTTGCATCAATTCGTCCGTCTTGACTACAAGTCAGTAAGTACGCCGACAAGATCGAGCCAAGGCTAGAGGCACTGCAAGCCCGCCGAGCGCCGCCTGGCGGGCGACTCGCCTGGCCTTGTTGCCGTTGAGCCAGCAGTGCAGGGGCCGGTGTTTGGCCGTCTCGCGCGGCTGCAGGTCGGCCGGCAGCAGGGTCCGCAGGCTGGGCGCGTCGTGCAGGATCCGGATCCTGGCCAGCGCCGCCGAGAGCCGGGTGCGCAGCTGGAACAGCGCCTCCTCCAGCCGACGGTGGCGCGGCTGGCGGCGTTCGGAGCTGAGTGGCCGACGCCGCTGGAACCGCCGGTCCTGGTAGTCGTACAGCATCACTGCCGCCAGGCTCAGGTCGTCCTGGAACTGGGTGAGGCGGGCATGGACTTAAGATCAGGCTGCTCACGGTGCCGGCCGTGAATTGCTCGATGGCAGGTTTTGTGGTTTGCATATCTGCTTATGTCTGTTCCTCGCCAATAGAACACGGGCAGGCATAGGCATCATAAATGTAAGGGACTAGCTTTATATATATATATATATATATATATATATATATATATATATATATATATACAAGATATGCAAACATGCCATATTCATAACACAAAGGTGTTATTGGCACATTCGGCAGATAACGCCGCGGTGAGCATAATCGGGACTTTGATGCTCACGAACCCCTTGGGTGGTCCAAATTTAAGGGAACATAGCCGTCTTTACAATGTAATGCACTGGATACTATAGTCCCCCAAAATTAGTGATTTCTTCCACCACCCAGTTAAAACTCCGCCAGCACCCCACATTTAATAAATAACCGAACGATCGCGTCATAAAAAATCATTGTGGCCGTTTCTTTTCGCCGTGGTTCATTCTCGATAACACATTTCAACCGACATGCCGAATTTGTAAACACATCATGCGAAATTGCTAAATTACCATAACTGGCTACCTAATGTATATCAAACTGAGGGCAATGATGAAAATGTTTTTAATGTATTGCCCATTCTAACATCTGGGGACCGTTTAAATGGTACATGCAGCGTTTGCTGAAGTTATTTGCATGCGGCGTTATGACTAGAGACAGCTAATGATTGCTGTTCAAACAGTATAATTATCCCCTTACCTCGGGGTATTTAGCGACGAATCCCACGTCATTCAAGGTCTGGCGCAATACGTCTTCATCTGGGGAAGGAGTAAAAATACACTAATTCAGTCATCGACCAAGATCAGGCTCATGACAGCTGAAGTGCTGCATGACACGGAATTCGGCACTCACATTTCATGGCCGCGTATGCCAGCTCAAATGCGAGCTTCTTCTCTTCATTACTGCTGAATTCAATGTCTTCAACCACCAGATTGCATTTGCTGCCTGGAACGTAGCCGCTTTGCAGTCTGTCAAAGATTTCTGCGGCTTTTCTGTAGAGCTGTACGCCATACCGGCAGGGGAAGCGGAAGAGTCCGTCGTAGAAGGTGCGTAGCGGCACTCTCTCAGCTAGCTGGAGGGTGATGAGCGAGGTGGCAGAAAGTCGACTGAGGTCATGAGGCAGGCGAGAGGTCAAGGTCACCGAAGAGGTCAAATGCACAGAACCAGGTGTGCCGGGACGTGGTGGCATGACGGCCATTGGGGCGGGGAAAAATTCCCCTTTGTCCAAGGGAAGTCGAGGCATTGCATATGTGTCCGCCATTGCTGCTCGCTCAATGCTGGCGAGCTCCACCACGGGACTACGTTATTTCTCTGTGAAACCCACACACAGACGAGTTCGCCATTAGAAATTAATCTCGGTCAATCCTGTTATGTCATAATTAGCTTCGGCCTAAGCTGTTAATCGCCTCCGCGCCAATATTGTCCGACAGTGGAAATTCACGATAATCAAATCACGTGCACAGGTCCATTAGGTGCCACCGTGTAATCAACTCAGCATGCAAGCTGACTATATCCAGGTGTGCGTAAAGCCACGTCTAAATGCTCCTACAAGTCTGTTGCGAGCACACGCTGCCGGCTAGAACTGTGTCACAACTCGTCGGGGGTCCCGGCACCGGCTGGCGACCCAGATTGCCTCCAGGGCAACATTGCTTTTCCATCGCGCTGGCCTGATTGGATTAGCGGATATTGGTGTACGCATTACCAGCTGTCATATAACCCAGCGGGCCACGAAGGGCTGATACAGTGTTGACCCAGAAAACATGAAAGGGTTACAATATCTGGTGAAAAACAAGACTGATCGGGGAATGGAAACAGCCCTGAGAAACAGCACAAAGTTACTTGATAAATTTTAGTGAACACCAGTGCATCGAGCTTCTTTGATGTCGTAACGTTCATTATATATTTTTATTTTACTAGATGCAGGTAAAAACCATGGCGGCAAAACTTTAAAGCGATATGCTGGTCATATGCATTACTTATACCGCCTCCAAAGCGCTGGCAGAGTTTCAGAATCTACAGCAATGCTTTTGTATTAAGCAACCTTATGCAGACACGTTGTTTATGCTACTGTGCCACCGAACAGCGAGCAGTGCATTGACGCCATTTTCTGTACCAATGCTGTGCCACTGCTCGCCTCAAAACGCATTTGTTGGGAAATGTGCTACATGTGATAAAACGGTGTTACGTAATACACCTCGGAAAATTGTCATTTATCCTCTGACATCTTACGTCAGCGTGAGCACTGCAGTTGACTAGATTCTGCAATATTAGCCCACATTATCCCCGTGAGCGAGTGACCGGGCGCGCCGACCTGCACACGAGGGCCTCGTGCGCGGTCACACGGTGACCTCTCGGGGCCCTAGAGTGCTGCCGCCCCGAGCGCCACGGGTCGGGGTGAGTGGCCGCGGCAGTGCCATGATCGCGCAACATTACGACGCCCGTTAGCGCAACTAGTGTCTTTTAACCCGCGCTCGGGTGGGGAGGAGTCAAATTGGCCCCCAAAAGGTTTTTCGAGAGTGATTTCCGAACGACGCGGCGTAGCCACGGTAAGCTTTGCACACCTGTAGAAAATTGAATACCAAATATTTTGATGTAAAAGAAAGTACCTTGTGTGGCCGCTGACCGATGGCAGGTCAAATTCAGGTCATTGCTTTCAGCGAAGGACATTTCTAGGGAATCTTTGTATGTGCTGCAACAACGGAGTGCTAGACAAAGCCCCACCTATCTGAGATGGTTTTTAGGCAATTAACGAATTAAGTTTAGAATTACAGCCATTATGATATCGTATTGACCTAGGGTATAAAGGTCAGACCGAGGTAAAAATTAACCTGCTCTTTTACTCAAGAGCTTTGTTTGATGGAAAAGTTTCTAGTGCTTCGTTTCGAATTCTTAATGACAGGGACCGCAACAGACATATTCCATGGACGTTTTTAAAGCCAGACTAGGTCACTGACTTGAAGTTAGCGTGGTCATTATCTTATTTTTTTTTAAAGAACATGCCGGTTAGCGTACTCCCTGACGCTTATTCAAACGACAAAATAGGAAAAATACCTTAGATATTTGGACACCTTGACCTCACAATGGTCAAACAAGGACACTGATTTCATGGATGTTTTGTTTGGAACAGGGACTTAGCCTCACGGTGGTTGCATGAGGAGATCTGGGGCACGGAAGACACCGATCTCGAACCGATGTGGGACACTTAAGGCACCGATCTGGAACCGATCTGGAACTTAAAACACCGATCTAGTTTGTTTCACCTTATTTAAACTCGAGGTCATGACCTAGGAACCTCAATTTTTGACACAAGTCAGTTTACGTTAAAGTTAATTCACTCTGTGAATTTGGTGTCTCTACCTATCTCACTTTTTGAAAACCTCTGGGTCAGCCTAAATAGTGTTTTTATGCCTGGGATAATTTTGTCCCACAGCCGCACCGAATGAAATAAGAGCACCATGTAAAAGGAAACAAAAATTATCGTCCTCGTAGGCTATGGTAGGCCAAATTTGAACAATGGCCTGACGTGACCTGACCCTTGCGAGGATACAAAATGATCGGAATGGACTGCTCGCCATCTAGACTCTCACTTCTGTTCCCTCAATATCCGTCCTGACATGCTAACATATGTTTCAATTGCATTCATCATATTTTTTTCGGATATCTCGTGACCTCAAATTTGACCAAAGTTTAAAAAATTTGTCATGCATTCCTCGTGATTTGACGAGACCTTCACAGACGTATCTTAGCTTTCTCGTGCGACGTCTGGAAGCTGGAGACCCGGGAGGGGGGTGAACTTCCCGGACCGGGCGCAGGTTGTGTTACGTTAGCTCCGTGTGATCTGTTTGCAATCACCTCTGTATTTGGACGGCAGCGTCGTTGCCGCCCGAAATATACCGGTTTCAAGGCCCGCTAGGTACATGGCAGCCCGCACCCACGACTCAATGCTGGTAAGCTGCGTGCTTTTATCCATTTCAGGCATGATTATATCAGTGGCGTGCAGTAGTGAGTCCTCACGAGTAACGTGTTAAAAACGTCCGGCATTCCTCATTGTTTGGCCTAGTAATCACGTCTAAAAAGATGGATCATCGGTAAAGTCATTTAGTTGACAGGATAGGTGCCATGCCGAGCACACCATGCTGAACTCAGCTTCCAAAATCGCGCCTAAACGTTCATGTTGTTTACTTGCCAATGATCAACAAAAAGATCACCAGGCGCCAAGCGGACAAATTCATTCTGGCAAAGTATCCAAAAGCAATCAAATACCTACCGCTGCCACTGCCAAATGGTGCTTTCTGTGAGATTCGCCGAGACTCGGTCGAATAAGACGGCCATTGATCACTGCGGTCCGGCGACTTGTGTTCTAAATTCGCCGCTGCTGATCACATCCTACCGGCGACTATCAATAACGCCCCTGCCGGCCCTCGCCTGTGAGCAATGATCGGGTCCCCACCCTTTAACGATGGCTCCGTGCTGTCCCCGTAACCTCTGACTGATGACACCGGCCGTTTCCCACGATGAAGACACAGATTCATCGCCGATGACGGATGACCCGGCCGGCGGGCCCGGCGGCGAGCGACGCAGTCCGCGAGGGCCGCTGATGACGCGGCCTGTCCAGCGGCAGCGACATCACTGACCCGCGGCGGTGACCACCCTGCCCTGCCGTAGTGATCTCCCCTATCCTGCGATGTTTATCTCCCTTCCCCGCGGTGTTGGCCTCCTTGCCCTGCGATGGTGATCTCCCTGCCCTGCGATGGTGATCTCCCTGCCCTGCGATGGTGATCTCCCTGCTTTAAAGTGGTGATCCCTCTGCCTTGCGGTGATCTCCCTGCTCTGCGGTAGGGATCTCCCTGTCCTGCGATGGTGAGCTCCGCGCCTTGAAGTGGTGATCTCCCTGCCCTGCGGTGGTGATCTCCCTGTCCTGCGATGTTGATCTCCCTTCCCCGCGGCATTGATCTCCCTGTCCTGCGGTGGGGGTTCCCCTGCCCTGCGGTGGTGACCTCCCTTCCCCGTGGCGGGTGACCTCCCTGCCCTGCAGTGTTTGCTCTCCCTTCCCCGCGGAGGTGACCTCCCTGCCTCGCGGTTGTGACCTCCCTGCTCCAAGACGATGGCCTCTTAGCCCTAGCAGCGGTGGCCTCCGGGCGCCGGCGGTGATAGTCCTTCTGCCGGCCAGCCAGCGCCCCCACCCGGTCGCCATTCATGCCAGACAATCAGCCTATTTTCATGGCGGCATTATGACGAGATGGTCGACCGGGCGTCCGGCGACGGGGGGGGGGGGGGGGAGGGAGTGGGACTGGAGGACCGTCAGTGACCTCGGGGCGAGCCCATTGACCCGGGGAGAGCCAGGCGTCCGGGTGGTAGGGGAGGGGTCAGGAGAACCGCCGGTGACCCCGGGAGGGCCCATCGACCCGGTAAAAGCCAGGCGCTCGGCCACCTCCCCCTCGTCAGGACGCGACGTGACCGCGAGAGCGCGGCGGACGGCGGCGCACTTACCGCCCTCAGCCGGGCTCGTCTCGGATCTCGAGGGCGTCGGAGGCCGCTGCGGCACTCCCACGCCCGCCTGTGGAACAGCCGACGGTGCGCTGACGAGCATTTCAAACACGCAACGGGCGGCGACGTCGGCTCAGCTCTGAGTGGCTGAAGCCGAAGGGAAGTGAGCTCACTGCATGTTAATCATGTGCCAGGTACTCATTTCAGAGCCAGAGGATCCCCCCACGGACAGAAAGGTCTGATAAAACCTCAAGCTGATTGAAAAGTGGTCTCGTGTTCTTCACCTCTCTACGCCCTCACTTTCCATCCCTCTCTTTCTCTGTCCCCGTCTGTATCTCTCACGACTTCGTCGACTGCGCTCTCCGCCGCCACACACATACCCACACGGGTGCGCGCGCGCGCGCGCACACACACACACACACACACACACACACACACACACACACACACACACACACACACACACACACACACACACACACACACGCACACACACCACACATCACACAACACACAGCACACACACACACACACATGCACACACACACACACACACACACACACACACACACACACACACACACACACACACACACACACACAACACACACACACACACACACACACACACGAACACACACACAACACACACACACACACACACACACACACACACACACACACACACACCAAACTCAAACACAACACACACACAAACACACCACACACACACAGTAAGCGCAGCAGGGGGGGGGGGGGCGCACAAAGCCCCATTTCCCCAATCAGGGACAAAGCCGGAACCGGTGATTTACATTGCTCAGGGCCCCACAGAGCCTTACAAGGGCCCTGTGTTGGCAAGGGACCCCGGGTCGGCCAGAGGCAGTGATTGATCAGGGTCGAAAAGCCTAGAAGACCCACCGGGTCCGACGATCAAGGGCCTAATTAGAGGTCCTAAGGGCACAAAGGACTGGTCGGAGTCTTACTCAGAGGCCCCAACCTACGAAGACGGGCCCTCAGTTAACGGTCAGAGGACCCTCTGCGCCGATCGAGGACCCCTTGAGTCGATATGGGGCCCATATGTTGGTCAGGTACCACCAGCACCGCACAGTTGGCTCCGTGTCCCGTGTGGGCCTGGGTACCCACCCACCTCCCAATCAGACATAATGCCGGGGCCAGTGTCCTGCACTAGTCGGGGTCCCTGTATCTGTCAGGGGGCCCACAGCGTCTAACAGAGGATCCTGTGCTCGTAAGGGGCCCCGAGCCGACCAAAGACAGTGTTCGATGAGGCCGAAGAGGCAGCCCAGGGCGGCCCAGTGGAACCGACTATCAAAGGCCCGGTTGGAGCGCATCAGGGACTGCATCCGAAGGACTGGCTGAAGGTTAACGTAAAAGAATTTCGGTCCGTAGTTCCGTAACCTGAAATATGAGCCACATCTCCTTTTGTAACGTTTGAGGGACCCTGATACAATGCGGAGGTCTAATTCGGGTCAGACCACGAACACCGAACGGTCGGCTCCATGTCCGTCGAGCCCTTGAGATCCATTTCCCCAGCAGAACGAGGTCGAGGCTCATGATTTTTAATGTTCTGGGTCCCTGATACAATGGATGGCTCCTACGCCGGTCAGGGGTCACAGGGCCTAACAGGGCTCCTGTGGCGGCAAGTGGCCCCGAGCGGTGTTTGAGGGGGCCAGAAGGGGGAAGAGACGAAGAGCCTCTCGAAACCAAAGATCAAGGACCCGATTGTATCTCTGAAATGTCTGAAGAGCTAGTTGTAGGTCACATTAAGGAACTTCGCTCATAGGCCCGTGATCTAAAATGTCAGTAAGAGAATCAATATGGATCCCTGAGACAGAGCGCTCCTCTATTTCGGCCAGAGATCACGAGCAACGAACAGTGAGCTCCCTGCTGGTCTGAGCTCTGGGGGCCATTTCCCAAGAGGAGACAATGTCGGGCTGGCGATTTACATGGATCGGGGCTCCCGTATCCCTCAGGGCCCACAGCGCCTAATACGGTATCCTGCGTCAAGAAGGGCCTCGAACTGACCAGGGGAGGATCTGCGAGCAGGGACGGGGGCGGGAGCCCGAATGACCGAGGTCTGTTGCGTTGGTCGGGGCCCCCTGGCAATACAAGAAAATATAGAACTTATGATCAGTGTTTGTATTGGGGCAATAGAGGGTTCCTTATCATTCAGGGCCCCAGTGCCAAACGGTGGTCCCCCCAACCCAATCGCAGAATGGGCCCGTTAAGCCGAACTGGGATCTTCGTGCCTGCGACGATAAGAGATGTTGTTGCGTCAGTGACGGTTCAATGGCGTTGGTTCGGGGCCAACTCCGCAAAGGCCCTCCCGCGTCAGGAGTGGACCAATGTAATATAATGTATCCCTCTAGGGGCTCCGGATCGGCCAGGAGATCACGCATAACGATCACTGCAAAATGATGTTTCTGAATTTATTTCAAAATCAGGTCGTACGGTTCAAATATTGCCGGAGCAAATAATTTTCTACAGCTTTATGGTTGTCCTCTGGACAAGTGAACAGTAACAGAAACAGTTTTGCGTTCTACAATCGGTTTTTAAAAAAAAAAATCCGCCGGCCTTTTGCAAAATAAAGAGCAGCATCGAATTATTTCATGCAGTCCTTTAACGCAGCACTTTTCAGTTCATTGACTTTAAGAAACTTCGGGTAAAACTGATTTTGCGCTCCATTCCAGATTTGTTTTTGCGCCCGGCCTCCATTCCAGATATAGAAGGTAAAAATTGTAATGTGTTATAGTCTAAGAACAGCATGCTCCACCAGCCAATGGGCCATGTCCGGAAATATCCTTTTTAGGGGGGGGGGGTCCTTTACCATAAGAGGGCCCTTTGTCAACCTGTGCCCACCCTTGCTTAGGCTTTGACTGCGCTCCTGCACACCCCACCCACACCCACCCACACACCCACCCACACCCACACCACACCCCACCCACCCAAACACACCCACACACCCACACCCACACCACACCCACACCCCACACCCACACCACCCACACCCACCCACACACCCACCCACACCCACACCCCACCCACACCCACCACAACCCACACCCACACCACCCACACCCACACACCCCCCACACCCACCCACACACCCACACCCACACCCACCCACACACCCACACCACACCCACACCACCCACAACCCACACCCACACCCACACACCACACACCCCACACCCACACACCCACACATACACACCCACACACCCACCCACACCCACACACCCACACACGCACGCACACATGCACACACACACACACACACACACACACACACACACACACACACACACACACACACACACACACACACACAACACACACGGTCACACTCTTGCCGTTCCTCTCACCCGCACGCCGACTCGCTTTCTCTCTCAGGCGACTCCTCCCTCCGCCGTCGGCCGTCGCAAGGCTCCGCCGCCGCCCCTCCCTTTCACCTCTATTCATGCATTCGCCGGCCAGCCGGGGTGCCAGACCGGTCGGCCGGCCGCGGACAAGCTGCACTCGTTTTTACAGCTCGCGGCCGATCGGGGCGTCGCCGGCCCGCGGCCGTGCAAACACAGCTCCCGTCCGCCACTTGAGCCGCCGCCCGGCCGCGCCGACAAAATTGCATCAACGTAATTGGCGGCGGCCGGCCGAGCGGACGGCCGGACTGTTTGTGTAGCGGCGACTGCGCCTTCTAGCCGATTGTCGGCCATGTCACTATCTCGAGGGCCGGCCGCCGCGAAGATTTCCGGCCGAGATTGCGGCTTGTCGGCCGCCGGGGCGTCGGTGGCCGCTGACCGCTCGCGGCGGGCGCCGAGGCGCCGAGCGTGTTTGAATAGAATGTGGACAGCGCTGGGGTGCTCCGCAGAGAGTGTGGACAGTGCTAGGGTGCTCCGCGGCGGTTGGCTCGTGGTCGGACCGTCCGCTGCGTAGAACTGGTGACGTGGACGATTGGCCAAGGGTAATGTCAAGAGTGGGCTGTTGAAATGTGCTATCGGTGATATGTATAGGCATAAGTGGGTGTGTATGCAGATAAGAGCCCTGGCGGCGTGCGTAACGCGGCAAGCATCGCAAGTGTGTCAGAGAGCGAAGCTTATGACTCTCTGTTGAACAACAGGAAAATATAAAGTGGATTAAATGAAGCTAAAGAAGCTTTCTCCATTTGAACTGTTTGGCCATGACATTATTTTTGAGGCCATTTGGTGAACACATCTAGGCAGATGGCAAAAGCATCAGTGAATCCCAAATAAAGGGAGCCGAACTTTTATGGGAATTATGGTTGGCCATTACCCCACGAGCGGCTCTTTGAAAACCCCGTGCCTTCATCCATGCAGCACTAGCTGCGGAGGACATTCGCTGAGATCATGAGCTGAAAACGCCGGCACCACGGACCATGAGTTTCAGTTGCCGGGTAGTGCGTCGTCTTCCAGCGATTGTCTTGTCATCGGACGTCGGCGGGGGTCATCTCCGTAAGAGACTTTCACTGGCAGTGCTCTATGACGCAATCAACTGTAATCTAACTGTTCAGCTTGGTAGCACAGTCTGGTGATTGCTGCCTCTCAGTCTCACATTACGCGTGAATGATTGCGTGACTTTCGTGAGGCTTTGGCCTTGGAGGTTTATGGGAGAGGCCGAATGGTCTAAGCAGTGAGCTCATTTAAAGTTTGTGTTTTGCAGATGACTGAATCGCATTTTTAGAGAGACCTTTGGTAGTCACAAAAACGACTACAATTAGATCGAGAAGCGCTCTCGGCAATCAAGAACTTTTGGACGCTACTGAGTTCAGTCCACCACAACGGCATACACAACCACACAAATAGATGTTCCTGTAACGCTATGCACCATATATTCGTATCTTGATCGCCAAAGTAGGCGATAATTTTGATGGTGGTTTTATTTACTGATCAAACTCAATCATAAAAGCACCATAATTGCATCTTAAGCATGGACGCCTGCCGCCAACAGAT